AAACACCTTTTCTTTTCAAAATTTTACCCTGATTTTTGCACCAACCATCCTAAAGGAATCATTTTTAGCTGTGCGGTTGAAACTTTTAAGTTTTCAACATTGACTCTGTCATGTTCTATGAGGACTGATCCATGCTTTGGCTTTGGTCTGGCTCATACCAATCATAGGTCTAGTGAGTCTTGGCCGAAGCTGATTGGCTCTGAATTTCTAGCATGGGTACAATGAGAATTTCGATAGGGCTAACCAAGGATCGCCATTTCAGGTATCGGGACCCGTTTCGAGGATTAGGTAAGAGTAGTACATACCGGTCAATACTGATGTTTCACAGAGGAAGAAAAGGAAGAGGTGGTGGACGAACAAGAGGAGGAAGAAAGAAGAGGAGGCATCACAAGAATAGGAGGAAAAAGGAAGAAGGGGAAACAGCGGAGGAGGAAGAAGAGGACAGAGCAGTGGTGGACGAGAAGGAAGAAGAGGAGGACGTGTACCGGAGAGATAAACGACGATGAATATGTGGGCAACATCCAACGATAGCAGCGACAATGAGAAATGGGGAAAATTGGTCACAAGCCCTAATTGGGGGCGGCGTCACACTATTGTAGTTATTTTAGGGTTTATATACTTTTATATATGATTTGGATCGAACCACCCGAAACGGGAGCGGTTCGCATACTGTTCCACCCCCGGACTGCTATGTATCGCTCATTTGTACCATCTCTGGTGGTACGATAGTCCGTGGGCCTAACCACCTTGCTGGGTGAAACCCCCTTAGGTTCATTATGGTAGATATTTTCACTTGAATCTTTCGTTATAATGTAAGTTCTTCATTGTAGAAGTTCCATATTTGCATAATCAGTGATATTTGTCATTATTGTTTTTAAATGATGACCGGTGCTTCTATATAGTCGACTCCAAATAGTTAGGACTTACAGTTCTGTTGTTGTTGTTGTACTGGTGCTTCCACCATTGAAATGTCATCAATGAGGCTCTTGCTTATATGGGGTTTGGGGAGAGTAAGATAAACGCTGCAATATTAAGGACGCGCCGCAGTTACTTTATATCTGAAGAACATTGGAGCTTCTGTTATTCTATTATGTGAAAAACAAGATTCTATTTCCTTTACTTTCTAATATCGCCAATATTCATAGCTCAGATGGTTGTCTAGAGTGGCTGCCACAACTGCCATTTGAATATGTTTCATGTCTTGAATCCGTGGTTTTGTTTCATGCAGGGAACTTTAAGAAGCCCATTTAAGGCCAAATCTGTGGCCCCTAGCCTTGCTAATTCAAGTGATCATGTATGTGTTTCTTCTAAGAACCACGAATTGGTTAGCTTCGTGGTTTTACACTCTTTATGAGATTTCGTCTCTCTCACCTTTTCCTACAGGGTGAAGTCATTGTCTCAGAACTGGGAAGTGATAACAAATCTATTGAACATGCACCAAACAATCATGAGGCAGTTGCAACTTCTCAAATGTGAGTGCTAATTATTGTTATGCTACTTTGTTCTTATAAATGTTAGAGATTCAAACTGAAGTTTCTTGTGGCTATGCTGCACAGTGCCAAAGAGGGTATGCAAACTGATGTGCAGCTTACAGAGGTCGAAAGACAAGCTTAAGACTACAATGTGAAGAATGTAGAGAGGTGTTGTTTCAATGTTAAATTTGATGGAATTCTCCGGCTTAGTTTATAAAATTATTTTATGCCATGATCGATGACATAGGAAACAGCGGCACCCACAGAGATCGGTGCATGTGCATGTGCAGTGCACGGTATATCACCAGAAAGTCTAACCTCCAGACCTGACACTAAAAGATGATGTGCTTGGTTTTCTTTGTTTCCAATTCGATGGTGTTAATATTAGCTGGAAGATATATTTTTCTAACCTAGAAATAGTTTGTGGAACAGACATAATCAGTTATATACTTTGTTTTCTTCATATATGAAGTTGTGTTTTTGGGGAGATTCCTTTTTCTTGTAAGATCTGCTGATTGATTGAATTTTGTTGGGTCATTGAAATCATGTTGCTAAAATTTTGTTGTGCGGCATTGTGAAAAATGTCATTTTGATAATCTTGACATTAAGTCTATTGTCCATTAATATGGTAGTGCCTAAAGTAATTGTAAAAGTAATATTCTTTGATCAAATGGGACTGAAATTTTAGAATCAGTAGTATGTTGATTATATGATTCTTTTGTATGGAGAGATTAAAGAATATGTTACTTATGAAATCAAAATGAGATATTTATAAAGGAGATGTGGTTTTGGATTATCTTTCACTAAGTTTACATCAAAGAAAATTTTATTAGTGTATTTTCCCAGCTATACTTGAAGGATTAAAAATTGAGCAGTTAAGATATGTAACACAGTATAAAAATATTATAAGTATAATATTTTATAAAATTTATATAAAATATTTGTATAAAATATTATAAGATAATATAAAATATTGAATCAATCTATAAAAAATATAAAAAAATGAGGAGAACATATTCCGGTATTAGGGTTAAAAAAAAGTGAATGTTGGTTTAAATTTCTGAAAATAAAGCTTTTTCTCGGAAAAAAAACCTAAAAAGAGCATTTGTTTTTGGGAATTTGCTCAAAAAATTAATATTATATTGGAGGGACATACATGTTATTTTGGCAAAAATTCAAAAACTCAAATCTGAATTCGTAGATCATTTACCCTTGAAGGCGCACCATGAGGTATCCTATGGCACTTCTCACAATAGTCCTATATTAGCTTATCCGAGCTCTAATCGTTTCGCTTTGGGTTTGTATCGTTACTAGAATATTGATTTTTTTTGTTTTGATGTTAAATTGTGGGACTATGGTTAGATTTGGATATCATTGATTCTTTATTTCTCATTGTTCTCTTATTTTGTCTAAATAATTGAGATTTGTAAATTATTTTCATTAATTTGGCCTGTCTTTTCAGTATTAAGTCTTGCTTATAGTTTGGTTCTTTTGTTTTATGCTACACTGGCTCAGAAAGTATTTAGTTTGAGGAAACTTTGCAAAGAGTAGATCTTCCGTTGGGTTTTCTGTGATCTATCAGTGTATTACTTGGGATCTATGAAAAGAATAATTAATTCTTTGATGTATTTCATACCTATAATGTGATTTTACAGGAATAATTTTATGTTTACATGTGAAGTGTTTCTTAATTTATATTGTGATGGATTTGGATGCAAAATGAAATAGATGTGAAGTCTGTTGTTCTCAAGTATCTGAAAGTTTGGATTAACATTGCTTGTCTTATATCATTTGTTGAATCTATTTTTCTCTAATCTTTTGCATTCTTATCTTTGTCTCATTATTGACTTGACCTTTCCTCCTCCTTGTGTTCTTCTGGTTGGCAATTTACATTGACGGACATGGTGAGATGTCATTGTCTGCTTAGCTTTTGCACATCAATTTTCAATCAGAGATTTGTTATCTGAGTTATGAAGGTGTAGCAGCATGAGGGAAAAAGTCTTTGTTAGAAGAGCAGTGTACACATAGAACAGATGTTGAGCTATTACAATTTTTTGGCTATTGGTCTTTGGATCACTGCCTTAGTAATATCAAGCTTGGAATTTTTAGAAAATGATTGTTTAGAAAAGCTAGCAAAAGTCTTGTGCTTGTTTGGTCCCTTTTGACTTGTCTTGAACCCTTTTCTCCTTCCACAGTTGACTTTTCATCTGGTTATGATGTATTTTGCTCACACAAATGTCATCAAACTGTTTCAGCTTTCTTCCTTTTTTCGATAAATCTGCTGTCACAAACCATTTTTTTTCCCACATGAGTTGATGGATTTATCAGTGATTATCTGTTCATGCAGCCAAATATTGACCGGAGACAGATACCAAAGTGCATAGTGCTAATTCTTCTATTGATATCGTCTCGATTCATTTAAAATTGTTTTTGTGAAATAATGAGTATATTATTATTATCGATTTTAACTTAAGCATTTTGCTCAAGTGGTTTAGATCATTGATAAGCCAGTTAGCTTATGTCGTGACTATTTATGTTTGCATGGGACAAAAGGGATAATTATAAATCTTCTTTCAAATTATCATTCAAAATTCTCGCTTTGTTCTTAGTTTTACGAGCATTTAGCCACTTGCTATTTGCTCTGTTCTCACCTGATCACATGAATCTATCGATCATTGATAATCTAATATATCAATTGTAGTTGTCTCTCTTCTTATTTTGAGGTTCAATTATCCCTCACAAGATCAAGTCATGACTTGTTCGATCCAAGTCTATATTTGTTCCTTTTAATGATACCATTCATCATGAGAATGAAAACTGGATTAAACCTAGTTCAAACATCCAGAATGACACCAAATGATTTGTTCTTTTATAGGTAGTCTATATTAAAAATCAAATCCTACATGTAATTTGATTCAATTAAGTTTAATATTCTTTGGTAGGATTAGAGTAAGGAAAATAAGGTCACAGGATTTGGCTAATAACCACTTGTGTTTTGTACTCATTTAACAAGAAATGAGTGAGTATTTTTTAATCCCAAGCAATGGGTCAAAGTGGGATAAAAAGGTTCTTCCCAATCATTATTTGACAGATTATAACAATTGGTTTGACCAAACAACTTCTTTGTAGATTGTTCCTTTCTTTTATTCAAATCGATAAAGGTTTCCTTACTGATATATTATTATTTTATGTTAATTACAAGTAATTGTTATGTTTTCCTGATAATAAATATTCAAAAAATGATAAATAATAAATCAACAAACTCGAACCCTCCTTCACACGACAGCATCGAACGGTTGACCTCTGCGATGAATTGAAAGTCAACGTATTTGTCGGCATACGTCATCATGATGGCGCGCAATTTGGCCTTTTCCTCCTCGCTTCTTCCCGCGATCCCGACAGATTTCCAAAGTCAACCCGCCCCTTGATTTCTTCTTCCAATTCACACGCTTTCTCACGTCGTATTTAATGCCGAACGCCGCACCTCCTCGGCATATTCCCCTGTTCTCTCGCTTCCTCTGTCTCCTATTAAAGACCCGGAATAGATCGATGGACAGACAGATAGATAGATAGAGATAGAGAATGGGGAGGTGGTGGCCATCTCGCCTTCTTCTCGGGCTTCTCTGCGCCGTGGTTTCAGCCGGACTGGTGGGGCGGACCGATGGAGGAGTCACGAGTTCTTTTGTCAGGAAGGCGGAGAAGGGCGTGGACATGCCCATCGACAGCGACGTTTTCAGCGTGCCGCCGGGCTACAACGCTCCGCAACAGGTGGTTTCCGTCCCCTTCTCTTCACCTTCTGTGCCTTACTTTCAATACTTGTTCTTGTTGCTTGATCGAACTCAGTGCCGCTATTAAGTTGTGGCCTTTTCTGTGTTCTTCCTGTCTTCTCTTCTGTCCTGTTCTGATTTTGGTTGCAAAAGACCAACTTTTTCTTGTGTCGATTGGTGCGCTTGTTTTGTTTTCTTATTCCTGTTTCTTGTTTTCCATCTTTTTCTCTTCCTTCTTTTACCATCTTACTGAGTTCTGCAATCAAAATTCAACTCATAGTGAGTCTGTACTCCATTGTTAGAGTTTGCTCTGTCCATTGGTGTTCCATTTATGGTCTTTTCATGGGTCTTTATTCTCTTTTCTTCTATAACTTATCTTCCTAGCAATGACTGCAATCTAAGTATAACTCATATGATCCTATTTGAGTTGTAGGGGACACTGCTTTTGTAGAAGATCATTTTTGTTGTAATTTTTGGGACTCGAACTCTGGATTGAATTGGTTCTTCCCTTCGCTTGAAGGTACATATCACCCAAGGAAATCATGATGGGTCTGCCATGATCCTTTCATGGGTGACCGAGGATGAACCTGGCTCCAGTAAGGTCCTTTATGGGACTGACAAGGATCAGCTTGACTTCTATGCCGAAGGCAAATACACTCGATACAAATTCTACAACTACACCTCAGGTTACATCCATCACTGCACTCTCAGGCACTTGAAGGTGATTCGGATCAATATATTCTACTGTTCTTTTCTCTTCTTTTCTTTTGCATATGCATGACTGATTTAGACTTGCCTGTTTCACAACCTTTGACTCTCATGCTTTCTTGCAGCATGACACTAAATACTACTATGCTGTTGGGATTGGGCACACGATTAGGAAGTTCTGGTTCACTACCCCACCTGAAGTTGGACCAGATGTTCCTTATACTTTTGGCCTCATTGGTAAACATGCTTTTAAGATACAGATTCATGTTAGACTACTCAAATCATGTTTCTGCAAGCCCTATCTGTTGATGCTTCTTACCATCAAGCCTCCAATTTTCATATTCTGCATTGTTAGTTTGGCAAGTCCCATAGTCTCACATCGGAAAAATCAGACTTGTTGTCTTATATTGGAACTATAAATAAGGGTCTGGGCTTTGAAGTCAGATACACCACAAGTCACTTCTCTTTTGCAGTCAATTCTCTTTTGCAGTAGTAATTTGCTCCTCTTTCGTCCGTGGATGTAGGTCAAAGTCAATTGACCGAACCACGTATATCTGGTGTTCTGGTGTTCTTGTCTCGCTTTTATTCTTTCTGTTTTATTGTCTTGTTGGGTTGCCAAAATTACCTTGTGGTAAATTTCCTGGGGCTAGCTCTAACATGCATGACCATTGGGAACAGGGTTTGAGTCATGAAAACAATATCTCTAGTACATTAGCCTTGGATCCTGCATTAACGAAAGTCTCATACGCCGATTCCAACCCATTTGTATTGCTATAGTCTGTTTTTGGAATATGATACTCCTGATACTTACGGATGCATTTGTCTTCCTTGTATATTTGTGTGTACTAGTAGTCCTTTTTTATTTCTGATGAATTGTGACTTGTTGCAGGTTTAAATCCTAGGGATCAGTCATTTTCGATTTGAATTGTGTTAATCATTATTTATTTGTGGATTGATTTACTGTATCGCCAAAAAGAAAATCGGTGAACTTCTCATATCTAGAAAAGGGCAGTTTTTACTTTAAGACAATGTAGGTCTTTTGATCCTTCTTTTTGCATGGTGTCTCATATTTTGGTAAATTCAATCTATAATGTCTGATAGGATTTTCAGAAACTAATTCCTGTTTTGCCTTGAGAATTCTTTACCACTATAACATGTTTTCTTTGATCTTTTTGCATGATGTGCAGGTGATCTTGGGCAGTCTCATGACTCAAATGTTACACTAACTCATTATGAATCCAACCCAAAGGCACAGACAGTGCTGTTTGTAGGGGACCTTTCTTATGCTGATACGTATCCGAATCATGACAATGTCAGATGGGATACATGGGGCAGGTTTGTTGAGAGAAGCACCGCATACCAACCTTGGATTTGGACTGCAGGAAACCATGAGATTGACTTTGCTCCGGAGATTGTAAGTAGGACACTTACGCGCATATGTAGGTCTCCTAATGTTCATAATTCATCATCATGCCTCCTAATGTTCATAATTCATAATCATGTGTTTAGAAGATGGAAGGCAAGGATTTAAATATCAATCTGGTGCAGGTTTCAATAATTTAGTAAATTGGTACGGTATCGGAATACTTGGTGGTATACCAATCCATATCATCTGGTTCCATCCAAATAATAATAATACTAAATAATACCAGACAATACCAGATCATATTGTCCGATACCAGTTCATAGTTGGACCAGTGAATACTGACCGGACAAATTGATGATACAAGACAATGCACAGGGAAATATCATGCAGTCATAGTTGTAAGTGAAACGAGTACAAAAAGAGAGTGAGAAAATATAATGCTCCAAATTGAGATGGCTGAGGAATTTTTCTGAAGGCCTCATCGTTTACGAAGCTAGTAGTGTATCAAACAGTACAAATAAGATGGCTGAGGAATAACTGATGATTAACTGATTACATGTTTGTTATAGCCACTTTTGTTTGATTAGATACAGAAAAGTCTAGCTTCTTTTTTTTTCTGAGAGAATTTGGAAGAATTAACATGTTTAACATTTTCGCAGGGTGAAACTGTACCATTTAAGCCATTCAGTCACAGATATCATGTTCCCTATAGATCTTCTGGCAGCACAGCTCCTTTCTGGTACTCCATCAAGCGGGCATCAGCTTACATAATTGTATTGGCATCATATTCAGCATATGGTATGAACATTTGATGTTTTACATTATGTGGATCTCTTGTAGCTCCACTGCTCCACGTCAATTTCCAGGCATCTATATCTTGTTCTAGTTTGTCATTTTGTACACAATGTTGAGCTCATCTTTATATGGTGAACATTTTATTTAGAAAAGTTTGTCCACTTAAAGCATATGCAATTTTATGTTTCGTTAGAAATCAAGTTTCTGCATTCACTTTGAGATGAACACTTGATAGATTCTGATCAATTACTCTGGATTTGCATTTATTTGGCTTTGCCTTTACTAATACATTATTTTTGGTGCTTAATGCTCCTTGTTTCATTGTAAAAGGTAAGTACACCCCTCAGTACCAGTGGCTTGAAGCAGAACTACCCAAAGTGAATAGAAGTGAGACACCATGGTTGATTGTTCTAATGCATTCACCCTGGTACAACAGCTACAACTATCACTACATGGAAGGTGAATCCATGAGGGTGATGTTTGAGCCATGGTTTGTAAAGAACAAAGTTGATGTTGTATTTGCCGGCCATGTTCATGCCTATGAACGCAGTGTAAGTGCCTCTCTTATTTCCTCAGAGTTTTTAATCCTCTGATGGCATTTGGTCTGATGATGTAAATGTTCATCATCTTGCAGCATAGGGTATCAAACATCGCGTACAATATAGTGAATGGAAAATGCAAACCGGTACCGGATGAATCAGCTCCTGTGTACATCACCATTGGCGATGGAGGAAATCTTGAAGGGCTTGCTAATAAGTAAGACTCCACATGAGACATAAATTCTATTCATGCTAAAATTCTAACTCTGCTTGTTGACCAATTTCGTTTGGCATCTATAATGCAGCATGACAGAGCCGCAGCCTGACTACTCAGCTTTTAGAGAAGCCAGCTTCGGCCATGCCATCTTTGAGATCAAGAATCGAACCCATGCCTACTATACTTGGCACAGAAACCAGGATGGAAATGCGGTGGCTGCCGATTCTATGTGGTTTTACAATAGGTATTGGAAGAGTTGATCATTGATTGCCATCTTCAAGAACAACTTCTAGTTTCGATTCGCAATGCAGACCTTGTTAGAGACCTGTCTTTGTTCTCTTCTTGTTCTATCTTGACTTTGGATTTTGTAACAAAAAGACTCTTTTTCCGTCAGTTGGTAAAGTCATTGCTCCTTGGCAATTGCAGCATGATATAAATCTCGGTTTGGTAATGCGGAATCAATCATTGGTTGGGCTTTGGTTATTGATTGGGTAAAGCTTTTCTGAAGACTTATCAGAACAATCATTGTTCACTCAAGAGGCTAATAGTGATGGTCAGTTATTGAAATGCAGTGCACAGACTGTGTTGAAATCTATGTTCCTCCAATGATGATGCTAACCAAAACCTCATCATCTACCATTCCATTGGCAAACAACATTGTTTGTGTTGTAAATAAAGCAGGCAAAAAGTCCACCATATTTATCAAAAATTTGAGAAACAAAACATTCAGTTTCTACTGCAAAAAAGCTGACTAAAGGCAGTGTCTAGAGAGAGTATGGCAGGCCTCAATCCATGGGATTGAAAGCAAGTTTTTTTCTCCTCTGTTTCTGTTCTCTTTATGAATATTCTCCACTATTTTGATGATACTATCTCAACATGGTCCCAAATTTTTGTCCTAAAGCATGCAAAAAAGTGTATAGTGCTGGTCCAATTTGATTGGATCCACCCTTGAAATCCAACCAAGTATTGTTTGGTTCCACTTCCAAAGCTTAGCAGGCATGATTCCACTTACAGCTACCAACCAGTTGTCCTGAAAATGATGACTCATGCATCTATCTGATCAGTGGTAGCAGATATGAAACAACTCATCCTGCATCACATTTGGATTCACTTCTTGCAGCTCTGTTGATTATGAGTTGCAGTATAGAACCAGAGGTCAGCAGATGCTTGAATCTTCACCCATTGCTTTCAAGCAGTCTTTCTCATGTGCTCAGATCAATTTGTTTTTGCATGAATGGCTTTGTCATTGTGCTCTACAACCAGATTGCTTTGTGTCATCATTAGCTTCCTGTGACCACACCAAGCAATATGGAACTCAAGATTGCACTGCAGTTGGATGGATGACAACCTACAATAAATAATCCATGCTGCCACCTTAAAGCCAGTATATATCCATGCCATCACAATTTGCCGCATGATCTCCTCCTTCAGAACCAGACCATGCTGCTGCCATATCTTCCTTGGTTCCTCCAAAAGATGAGGGAATCTGAAGCCAAGTCCAACCAATAGGTGTGTGCCCACAGAGCTGTTCTTTGCTGTGAAGCTTTGCAAGTCCAGTCCTACCGCTAGCTGTGGCCATATGAGATATCACACCCCACTGGATGGGCTGTCTCACCTTTTGAGAAGCTGGGAAAAAAATGCAGGTAAAGATGGCATTTGGGGAACAAAGCCACTGGCCATGGATCTCATACTTGAGCTAGCTTGTTGTTCTTTGGTTGGAAGCATATGATCATTCATCTCTGAGCAAATCGGATCCACATCAACAGCATCAAAGTGACATTGTCTATGTTCATCTCTATCCCTTCTGCTCTTCTCTCTGTTCGCTTGATTCTCTAACCATGCCTTTGAGGGTATGATCGAGAGCTCACCATGCTCGATGTGGCTTGCTCTACGACAAGGTTGACCCAGGTGACATTGTCCAAAGGCATTCAATTCCTAAGCCGCATGCGATGCTATCTCTCTGTCTCTCTCTTGCTCGGCAACAGCCGATATGTAGTCATCGGATCATCAATGAAGAACGACTTTTTGTCACCTCCATTAATGTCTCACTCCGATTGATGATGAGGTACGGCGCGTTGACTCTCTTGCAACATCTCAAGATCAGTTGTTGATCTTATATTTCATTATTTACGTAGAAGATGATCAGCAACAATAGAAGAAATTAATGGAAGCGAAATGTGTGCTCGCAAAGTTACCCATCCATCCATCCATCCATCCATATTTTATGCGCTAATAAAGTATTTTTGATCTCTCATATCCAATTAATTTTGTCATCTATAATTAAGGAATACGACGCAATCTCTCTCTCTCTCTCTCTCTCTTCCATCTTGAGGCTGTCGAACGTTTCCAGATGTACAGTTACAAAGGATAAAGCAAAGGGATGGACAAGAGAGACAGAGAGAACAGAGCTCGCTTCCATGTCTACGTAACCTTCTGCAAATGTGACTCCGCCGGGTGTTAAAGCGGCGACGGCAGCCTCATCAGGCGAAGAAGCATTTGCGTGGCTGATGAGATCTTTAAAGCGCGATCTCAGCTTACGTTACTGCCGTCCCCAAACACTGCCACAGGATGTTGGCCCCCTCCTCTCTTTTCTTGCTTCCGTATATAAATCCGGCCTTCCCCAGCCCCTTCCTCCTCCTATCCACCTTGCTTCCCTGTGATCCTCGTCGGTCCTCCCCCGCCTCCCTCTCATACGGCCTTCCCCACGTTAGCATCTAGACGCTTTCTCGGGACGCATGGCGCACACCCTGCTGCTACCGCTCTTCGTCATGTGCGGGCTGACGTCCACCGTCGGGACCACGGTGGAGCCCGCCGAGATGCTTCTCCAGCCCGCCGGGGAGGGCCAGCTTAGCTTGGACCCCTCGGAGGTCGCCGCGGCGGCTGTCGACTTCGGAGGTGCCGCCAGGGCCGAGCCGCTGGCCGTCATGCGCCCGGGTTGCGCGGGCGACGTCGCGCGCCTCGTCCGCGCGGCCTACCGCTCGGCCCGCTGGTTCCCGGTCTCCGCCAGGGGTCACGGCCACTCGACCAACGGCCAGGCGCTCTCGCCGGGCGGCGTCGTGGTCCAGATGAGCCGCGGCCGGATCGCGCCCCGCCCGGTGCCGGCGTACTCGCCGTCCACGGGCGAGTACTACGTCGACGTCTGGGGGGGTGATCTCTGGGTCGATGTGTTGAACTGGACGCTGGCCAACGGCGGCCTCGCGCCCAAGTCGTGGACCGACTACCTCTACTTGTCGGTCGGCGGCACGCTCTCCAATGCCGGCATAAGCGGGCAAGCCTTTCACCATGGGCCTCAGATCAGCAATGTCTACGAGCTCGATGTGGTCACAGGTTGGTTCTCGAACAAGCAGAATTCTTTCTCTCTCTCTCTCTCTCTTCCATTTCTCCGATCGCTAATAGCCATCCATCTGAACTACTCCAGGCAAGGGCGAGCTGATAACATGCTCAGAAGAGCAGAACTCAGAGCTGTTCCATGGAGTTCTCGGTGGTCTGGGACAGTTTGGGATCATCACCAGAGCCCGGATTGCACTGGAGACAGCTCCCCACAGGGTACAACTCCCTCCCCAACTCTGTTCGCTGGATTCAACACCAATTTGACCTTCATTTCCTGCACTCATGGCTTACGAGGGCCACTTTCCATGCCGTGCAAGATCATAGTGGTTCATACAAGGGACACATGCACATGAGATCACGATCTCGTTGGTACTTCGCACTGTTCCATTACTGTGATCATAATCTAGCGGATAGAGGAGTCATGAAAGCCAGCTTGATGGCATCCCCGACACTAATGGAACCAGCCAAAGAATCAAAGCTGGACTCGTCGTTATCTTCCGCATGATCTTTCATCATCAACTCTTGTTCTTGTTGTTGTGGTCAGGTGAGATGGATCCGAGTGCTGTACTCCGATTTCGCGGCCTTCACCAGAGACCAGGAGCTCCTCGTCTCGCTCCACGGCGCCCACCGGAGCGAGAGGTTCGACTACGTCGAAGGCTTCGTCATCGTTGACGAAGGCCTCATCAACAACTGGAGGTCGTCCTTCTTCTCCCCCAAGAACCCTGTCAAGATAAGCTCTGTTCACGCCAACGCCGGCCTTCTCTACTGCTTGGAGATGACCAAGAACTACGACTCCTCCGCCGCCGACTCCATCGACGAGGTTGGTCTCCGCTGATCGCTATGATGTTTTGTTGTCTTCGATACCTAACAAAAGGAGATCCGGCACGCTAGATTGGGCTCCATCATCTTCCACTATTACATCGCCTAACATAACGAGGTTGCCGAGATCTCTCATTCGGTAACATTAAACGGAGGGAGGACTTTTGTCGAACGACTCGGTGCGTGTCATTGGCTTGCAGGTGGTGGAAGCGCTGCTGGGGCAGCTGGGCTACATACCGGCGTCGGTCTTCACCACCGACCTCCCCTACGTCGACTTCCTCGACCGCGTCCACAAGGCGGAGATGAGGCTCCGTGCCAAGGGGCTGTGGGCGGTGCCGCACCCGTGGCTCAACCTCTTCGTGCCGGCGTCACGGATCGCCGACTTCAACCGCGGCGTCTTCCGCGGCATCCTCGGCAACAAGAGCAGCGGACCCATCCTCATCTACCCCATGAACAAGCACAAGTAAGAAGACCGCATGCGTGCATGCAACCAACCATCGCACGCAGACCACACGAAACATGCTGAGAGCATAACCAATGAAGATAGATGCCTATATCGGCATCTATCGCATGCGATGCGATGCGACGCCACAGTGGGCGGTAGGATGCTACAGAGACCATGTTATGGAGATCTTAGCTCTTCTTCCTTTCCCTTTCCACAGCATTATGGTTGCTCACCTGAGTGATCAATCAATCCATACACACACGATGATCTTGAGCTACTATGATGCTTATACGATTGTTGAATTATGTAGGTGGGATGATCGGAGCTCGGTGGTGACGCCGCACGAGGACACGTTCTACTTGGTCGCCTTCCTACGGTCGGCTCTTCCGGACTCCGGTGATCCGACTCAAAGTTTGGAGTACCTCAGCCGTCAAAACAAGAAGATCTTAGAATTCTGCGACGATGCCGGGATTGAGATCAAGCAATACCTCCCCGACCACCGATCCCGAGCCAAGTGGGCCCGACATTTTGGGCCGAAATGGGGCCGATTCCTTCGCCGAAAGGATCGATTCGACCCAAAGTGCATGTTGGCCACAGGCCAAGGGATCCTTCCACCCTCCTCCTCCGGTTTCCCCTGGTGAGGAACTCCATGACTCACCACAGAGCATCAACAGAACAAAAGGTGATGATAGGAAAAGATAGTTCTTAGGAGTGTCCTAGAAATCCTAAAGTTACACATCCTTTTGTATCGTCAATATGGGTAAGGACATAACAAGAGCATAACCATTAAATATTCCTTCTCTGTGATTCTTCTTGTGCCCAATCTTCTCTTTCATCCTTTGTCTATAAAAACACTGTAACATGTTGGAATCAAATTATATATATGTATATATATATGAGAGAGAGACAGAGAGAGAGAGGGAGAGAGAGAGAGAGAGAGAGAACGTAGAAAGACTTTGATGGAAAGAACTCCTCGAGTTTGCAAGAAATCATGTTGATAATAAATCACCATAAACATTGGGATGAATAATGCCTTCTTTCCCCTTGGACAACATGTACAGTAATTGGCACAGAACGAAGCGATGAACGAAATAATGTGGAGAAGACCATGCAAGAGTGATCAGCGGCCGATGGTGCAATCGCCGCCGGCGTTGCCGGACACGTAGGTGCAGCCCGAAGCCTGCGACGGCGACTCGGATCCCTTCGGAAGCGACTGCAGCACCAAAGCCCGCGCCTCCGCCGACAACGCCGAGGTGATGAGCACCAACACGAGGACGAACGCCACCGCCCTCGCCATCTTCACGCCACGAGATCCCATCTCCAAAGAGGATACATGCCTTACCGCAATGGAAGCAGCATATAAATGAGGCCACCGCCCATGGTATGGAGTTGCAGGCGGCCACCGGTGGCCAAGATTTTGACCCGTAACTGCTGTTTGAAGAGTCGAAGGTGAGGGGAGGAAGCAACGAGGCGGTCGTGGATGTTGATTCGGTGTTGGCTATGGCTGAGTGTTTTGCTCCACATAGTTGGAGAGTCCACCGGTGAGTTCCTTCCTCGATGGCAGCCATTGGTGGATAGAGATGACAAGTCCGGTGAGAAAAGAGTTCAGCTCTGCCAGTTCGAAGACTATAAGCTTTTCAGTGGCAGCACACCTAATGTCTGTCAGCATCACATAGCAAGTTTGACCTACGTGTCAGTCAATGTCTTAAGTGGTCTCAGCTCATACTGCATCTGGGAATCGTGCACTATGATTTGTGAGAAGACAATATGATCCTTTATCTTAATTATGACAATTATTTTGATCGTATCTGATCAGAGGCCAATATGCTAGAATTGTTTTTAGTAAATTTGAGTCAAACTAGTCAGAACTATCACAATATTTATCCCACAAATATGTCTTTATCTTTCATATGACATCTATAATAGTGCAAAATACTGCAGGAGAGAGAAGTATGGACACGTAGTTGTCCGCTAAATAATGTCAAACTTTGTTTCGTGACTGTAAGTCAACGTTCCGCCGAAACCGTTGACTTATAAGATGTGCTGAACAGCTAGTTTTCCGGTGCAAAACTTGACTGCATCGTTTACAAGTCCATATTGCGCAGCTATTCCACTCAACTCAAAGAGTTGTATTCAACCCACAGATGCAGTGTATAGCTTACCATCTCACAATGACATGTCAAAGCTTCTCATCTTCTTTCTCCTGCTGTTTCCTTCTGTGCAAATCATGCAAGAAGTATTTTGTCTATTTGTCTCTTAACCTGATGATGAATGTTAAACAACTAATTATCACAAGAACTATTATCACAAGAGGAGGATCATAATATCTGTTACTTTTTATTATTGAGACTCTTCAAAAACTAAAAGTCCCCATAATAAGCAAAAACATCGGCGGCCTACGCGAATACAGAAGGAACTTTACAGTGTGCAAGTTATTACTATCATACAAAAAAATCACCCTATTACAAATTTACACATATTTTAAAGAGTTTAAAGAATACTCGGGAGGGAACATAGGGAAGAGACCATGAGGACAAAAAGACAACACAACACCAAGCAAACACAAAGAAGAAAAGAAAAGAAAAACACTCATTGGGTAATACTCACATTTCTGAATATAGAAAATAATACTCAGACTTTGTGCGTCGATCCAAGCCCTGCACCAGAAAAAGCATAAAAGATTATGTGCAGCTTAAGTCCCATTGTTTGAATGAAGAAAAATTAAGTACAACTTCAGGAGCAAGCAAAAGGAACTATAGAAGCAAAAATGCCTAATCATAGTCATTAAAGCATCAAGTCACATGATATTTATGGAAACAGCTAGCTGGACATTTAATGATCCACCAACATTTGTAGTATCCTTAACATGATAGAAGTATGTAAAAGGATGAAACAGTATCGGTATTGATTTAATCGGTAGGACTCTTTTTTTAATTAAAAAAAGAACAAACATAATGATTAGGCATGTGCTATGGAGATATAAAAAGTTTCTCCAATATTTAGTGAAGCAACAGTTATACTCGTTAACGATCATGATCAATGTACTGAATTGGTTAAAAATCTTACGGGAAAAGGCAATGATCTTTTATAAAGATGAAAACCATGTCAACCATGCAAATAACAGACGTAGACTTGACTATTTCACCATGCCCCAGACATGTTGTATCTACCGCGTGCTCTATGGTAAGAAGCACACAACACTAGTGAGTAATTGATAGCAAGTATTCATATTTGTATCTTCCATTATTACTTTTTGCTTCATTGAAGACAACAACTTCAGACACCAAACATGGAAGATCAAGCCACATTAAGGTTCATTAAGAAGATGATTCCCATTGGTAACCTGCAGAAACTGAGCTTATTATCTGGAGCTTTTCTTTTAGGGGGTCTGAACCAGGCAGTAAGCTCGCCCTCGATTCTACATTTACCCAATACAACAACTAGTGTATTGCCCGCTACATGCACCAACCTAAGTCAAAAAATCAATAGTTTAACGATCCAAAGGAATAAAAATATAGAATATGAATGACAGGATGATAGTAATCTATGTTATACTAATGAATGTACATGGTACTACTACATAAGCATGTGTGATCAAAGGAGCATGACAATGAGTGAAGATCAATGAACAATAAGCTAGATGCCGCTGCTGGAACGTTGAATAAGGTCAGACATCTATGCACCTGAAATAAGATACCAAAGGAATATACAATGTCAAGAGATAGAAGAATAATCTGGAGCTTAAAATTGCCATAGTTTATGGTGGGTGACCTAGAAGTAAAATAAAAAAAAAATACGAGTAATGAGAACTTGAATCAAATTGCAGTATCGAAACAGCAAAAGATCACAAGGTAATCATAGTAAAAATGTTATTCTTTGTAGCAACAGAGGAATATGATGATGACAGCCTTTGCTCAAGGGGGTAAGTAGCAAAACCAAGGGCAAGCTCAGGGACAGTAAATGAGATAATGCTTGTTTGTCCATGTTGACTCAGTTTCCCATACTTTTTCTTATTGAGGATGTTAAGGGACAGAAGTTCACAAGCCAAAGAGCTTAAAGACTATGTTCAGTCAATAGGGGAGCTTGCTAGAGTAAAAAAGTTCATCAAACAGTAACTCATATCTCTACGACGAAGGAGCTGAACCAAGTACATAAAGCCCCAGGTAAGGCAGAAAGCACAAATTGTGTTCAGAGAATACATGATAAAGGAGCGACATCAAACAGATAATAAAAAACACAACATAATATGATATTTATATTTTTATATTACTAGAAGAATCAGAAAGTAGATACATAATATAAAGAATCACGAGTGCTACTGTTTCACTGAGATATTGACAAGGTCTTCTTAAATAGGAGAAAAATGTAAAAGAAAATTCCTGTCAGATTTAGTTTTCCTATTGAGAAATGAGAAATTTTCATGTGTAAATAAAAGAAAAAACAAAGAGGTGATGCTTACAACAACAAACTAACTGCAAAATTGAAATTGAAAAGACTTACTTGTCCCTCCCATCAGTTAAATAGAAAGATTAACCTAGCAACATGAAATTAAATGTCTATTTAAAAACAATGATACACATGTCTCTCTGGCTTCCTTTCAATATATAGACTAAATCCCCATGCATCTGTTATCATGAAAAGAGCTTTTCTAGCTAAAACTTTCAAGATATAAAGGAGAGTTTACCTTCTATTACTTCCACCAGCCACTTGGATTACGATAGTTCACCACCAGTAACTATGAAAGCTTAAAATCTGAGATTTAACTAAATAATCCTTGTACAGCATAATGTTGTATTAGTTTCTTTTATCCTACTATGATAAATAAGTTTCCATTAAGTTACTACTGAACTGCAGTCAGTATCCCAAGTTAAATGGACACAACTCAATAATATGCTAAATATGTTCAGCATAAAAGAGGTTGATTATTAATTAGTTGCATTTATCCCACATTGTTTCCAAGTACTTATCATATGCACCTTATATAATTCTAAAAAATCTAACTCAAAACTTCTCTGCCCCAATGACAAAGTACAAATGCTGAGAGAAAAATCCAAAGACATACCTTTTGGATAAGATAAAAGTTCAAGTTATAAGACGCTCTCATCGGGTGATTGCAATTCTCCGTAATTCCCGCAGATCACAAGCTATCTCTTGAATAATCTGAACACCATTGTTGCCACTTCTGAGTGAGTTAATGGCATGTTCCAGGAAATTACGATCTGCCTCAAGTGCCTCCAACCTCTGACTCAGACGTGACACTTCATTCTCAAGAGCAACTAACTCATTCTTGTTCCCTACTTTCAATAATTTTTGCTTGTCAATGTCATAACTGTCTCCACGGTTTCCTTCAGAGGAACTTGAACTTTTTCCAGAAATTTTTTCTTCCATCATAATGTTCTCTCCTACCTGAATATTTTCTGGAGGACCATCTTTCTGATAAATTTTCTCTTGACTTGAAACTTGAACTTCGTCAAAGATTTGACCATTTGTGCCCACACCACCTTCTGACACAACATTCCTTTCTACAAAAAATTCTCCGTCAACATCCCCACATGTTTTATCAGGAAGTCCATTTTCATCATCAGCATTCAAATTAAAACTTGAACTATCATCATAAACACCATTATTGGAAAAAAGATGAAGCTTTTTCTCCAACTTTGTCAAACAGTTTAATATATATGCCTCCTCATCTTCAAAGCAAGATAAGGGATCCTTCAAATCCCCAAATTCACTCCATCTTGAATTTTGACATGTTACATGAGGTTCCCCGGATTTGTTCCAAGATGCAATCTCCTTATCATGGAAGTTATCACTCTGCTCCACTGAATTGTCAGTGGATAATCCTTCTACAAAGCATATTCTAAGGCTTTCCACCTCAGCTTCCAAGCCTTGTATCATTTTCTCCCTTTGAGTAAGCAATTTGTTACATTTTTGAAGTGCTTCATGGTCATACTCTGCTTGCTCTTCCATCATTCTTTGGTACTGCAGGGCTTCCATATGCATTGCAGCCTTCTCCTCTTGCAACCTAGTAATCATGGCCATTGCTTGATTTGCTGCAATTGCTGAAGCACTTCTTTCTTCTTCTAACTCCTTGAAGAGAAGACTTATGGACTTCCTGTCCAACTCAACCTGCCGCTTCAGCCTCTCAACTGGACTTTCTCCTTCCACCTCACTTACAATGCTTCCATCTAGTGACTCTAATCCTGATTCATTCCTCTCGAGAGAGAGTGTTTTAGTTATGTTCTGCAATATATATTCATCGCCTTGTCCATATACTCGGGGACTAGGGCTCATTTCATTCCATGGAGACTCAAGCCCCTGAGCTGCAGATATCTGAGAAATCAGGAGTTTCAGATCTTCCTGAACTCTAGAAGAATCCCTCCCAATGATTACATCAGTAAATCTAGGAGATGACAAGCTTCCCTTATCACCAACAGCAATCTTATAAGCATCATTCAAATCCATACGAGTACTCATAGATTGACCAGGGTCACTTGCATCATGACTTGTCCCCAAATCGATGTTAGTTGTACACCAATCCTTTGCATCATCAACTGAAGTAGTACCAGTACATGCTGCATCACCAAACTCCACTTTAACAACTTAAAAGCAAGTACAATAAGAGAAAGACTAAGGAATCATACAGAGAAAACAAATCTAGAAAAGATGTGTATAATAGCTTACCTTTCACATTTGAATCTTCTAGAAGAACTTCTTGAGAATCTTGTGGCACAAATTCAGATTGGGGGGGAATAGCTTTGACTTCGATCTGGTTACAATTGCTATCCTCCAAAAAATGTCCAGCAGCTCCAGAAGATGAAAAGGTTGATGCATCTTGGAGCTCACCTACGTTTGTTTGATTCTCAGAAATTGACTCCGAAGGCTCAGTGATAACTGGATCAGAGTGCATCAACTTTTCTAGGGCTTTATCATCAGAAACACTAAATTTTGCATCATGACTTGTCCTCAAATTGATGTCAGTTGTACAGCAATCCTTTGCATCATCAATAGTAGTAGTTTGACCATAAGCAGCATCACTAAACTTCAAATTATCTACTTGAATATAAGAACAGTAAGTGAGACGCTAACTAAGGAGCCAAAAGAAAAAATAAATCTAGCAGAGATGTGCATGATAGCTTACCCTTCACATGTGAATCTTCTACAAGAAGTTCTTGGGGACCTTGTGGCACATATTCAGATTGTGGGAGAATAGCATTGACATCAATTTGTTCCTGGTTACTATCATCCAAACATTGCGTAGTAGCACCAGATAAAGAAACAGTTGATATATCATGGAGCTCACCTGCATTTCTTTGCTTTTCAGGAATTGACTCAAAAGGGTCACTAATTACTGGAGCAGGGTCGGTCAACTTTTCAAGGGGTTTAGCATCTGAAACACTAATTTGATCCGCACGAATCAACTTTTCTGTGGCTCTTTCACCAGAAACACTTCCAGATAAATCATTTTTTATTAGAGTGACACCCTCTGATTCTTCAACATGAGACACCAAATCATACATGACAGTTTCAGCTCGATGAGATGGAGAATTTCCTTCATCATCATCTGTGAATTGGATCTCTAAGTCAGAATCAGAGTCCGAAGTAATTTTAACTTCACTGTATCCAACATGAGAGAAGTGATCATGTTCTTGATTCTTTGAATACTGATATGCTGGGGAAACCAAGGTTTTCTCTCTCGTCTTTCTCGCTCCATCTTTATTCTGTAGATAACTGTGCCCATTTGAACTTGACAAAGAAATGTCAACTTCAGAAACATCAACTCTTATGGATTTATCTTCAAGCGACTTGATGGCATGTAGTTCATCATCCTTCTTTAAAAAAGGGACATTTGCCAATTCATCCCCATGAAACAGATGGAGGCCATCAATGTCCTGAACATCTTCACCGTCCTCAAGATGCCCTTTTAACTCACCAACCAATGATTTGTAAGTCTCAGAGTTGGATGTCCCTTCGGTATCAAATGAACGAAAACAGCCCTGGCACACGGTATGAACATCAGCAAGCTTTTCATGACCATTAGAGCAACCCAACAATGAGATCTCTGATCTGTGAGTTTCACAGATCAAATCCAGATAGAAGCTTCGTTTCTCATTTCCAAAAACATGATCTAGCCTTGAGCAAAACATACAAGGTTTTTGTAGCATGCAAAGACGAGAGAACCTTGTCACCAGGTAGACAAACAAGGCATCAAAGAATAACAGAAGCATCAACATCCATTCAAGAGCAGCTGAAGACAAAGCAGATGAGAGTCGTTGGAATCCACCAACAGGTGCCCTCGAAGCCATGATTAGTGGGGCTCGCATCAAATTCTCAGAGAAGTCGATCTTCCGAGCTACTGAAATGGTATCTCCAAGCTAGAAATTGTTACTGCAAACATCAACATGCTGACATCAGGTCCTAGAATACCATGTAGGATATTCAACGATAGACATCATTCTAGTCATATAATTTTACATAAATTGTAGCACCAAAGTAAGTTAACAACAGCACAAGCATCAACTATCAGTACACTTGATAATAGTACATGTAAAAATGGGAAAAGGGAACCGAAAAAGAAAACGAAGTCCAAATCAATTCAACAGGATGAACAGAGAAAAACCATATCTCAGAAGTATCAAACTATGGTAAATACCAAAGAAAACAGAGCAGATCTCAATCATTCTAATAAATAATTGTAATTTCAATCAATTCAACAAGAAAGTGACCAAACTAAGAAACGGATCTAAGGAGACAAAATCGAACAAAACAGGCAGTAAGTCAATCATATCAGCAAAAGAAAATAAAAGGAAAGATAACCCAGAAAGCAATCAGGAAGACCTTGATCCGAAGAGAAGAGGAGGCGATGGATGGAATTGGGTTTATGAAGGCAAGAGAAAGACAAAAGCAAACCGAAAGGTGAGGGCTTTCCACCTCCCACGAGTCCCTCGTCTCCATTATTGACACTATTCTCAGGAGCTGACGTCGAAGGATGGAAAAAGTCGGATGGAATCGCAAGATAAGGACACGGCACGAACCGAAAGGCGATGAGTGAAAGCGATTCCAGCTGAGTTTCCACATCAACGAGCGACACAACAGCTAAGTTAACGGACGCCTTCTTGGGGAAGACCTTGATCAGGAGAAGAGAAGAGATGCGGCGTTTTACCTCTTCGAGAAGCGGAAGCGGAGGAAGAGGAGATGGGAAAGACGAGCGCAGGAAGAGAATATTGCTTCAGAGTATAGGAAGCGAAGTTTCAGACTTCGTACCGTTATATTAATTATAGTATTTGGTTTATCTGATTTTATCTAAAATATTTTTTATATTTAAAAACATAACATATAAAACTCTTTCTTCAAATTTGAGTTAACAAATTTTAAATTTATGCTTCACGTGTTAACTCATGATAAATCATTAATATATATAATTTAAATTTAAAAAAAAAATATAAATTATGGGAGGAGGTTTTATCGTGAAAGCGACCACTAATAGTAACATAAAGCTGTTGCTGCTTAGTAGGGCCTCATATGTACATAGTCTTTCCCGTACTGACGACGAGCTCAAGAACTTTCTGTCCGAATATGTATCGACTAGTCCAATACTAGGTACGCAGTGATCTCTTGATCCCTCTTTCTCATCATAGAGGGTCTTTGTCCCTCTTCCTCCTTTATCTTCTCTCTGTCTTCATGATACCATGCTTCACGAGGAAGATGACTTACACTGTATGGTGATACTCGTCAAGATCAAAGCGAGTGTTATTTATAGTGGTGGGTAACACCATGATATGTGACGTGGTGGCATGCGCCTTGGAGCTAGCTAGTGACATCTGATAGATCCAGCTCCGATCCTGACGAGTATCACTATACCTTATAAGCCACCTCCCCCACAAAAGCATAATATCACAAAGACAAAGAGGGGAAGGAAGGAGCAGTTGAGCTAGTTAATGTAACCTTGCCACACCCACTCACTCTCCTCGACCAGCTTATCGAGAAAGAGGAAGCGATAAAGGCAGATTGAGGAAAGAAAGGCCGAAGGCAGATGTGAGGGAGAGTTGGACAATCACGTCATAGGCATAGCGGGTGGGGGTGCAGAAGAGAATGAAGTGGGAGGCAATGAGGATGAAGAAGCCTAGGAGGAGGAAGAGAAACCAAGAGACTACTACGTGCCTAACGTCGGACTGGTTAACGCACATCCACCTAAGGTAGAACTGGAAGCTCCTGAGCTTGTCGTTGGCGCTAGAAAGGCTACATGCGTACACCCTACTAGGCAATAACAGCTCGGTGCTGTTAATGGTAGTTATTTTCACGACAACACCTCCTTCCGTCATTAATAGAAATTAAGTAAACTTTAACATTTATTAACTCAGACTTGACGAGAGGTGCTTATATATTATATTTTTTAAAAATATAAAAATTATTTTAAATATGAATATATCATAAGCGCTTAAGAGATACATAAACAAAACCACCTAGGTTAAAATATATCTTAACCCTTAATTATATAATTAAAAAAAAGTAAGAAGAGATAAACTATGTGGACCCGTCGTTCTTTTTCCTATTACCACAGGTAAAACTTTGGGTTGGTGGAATAAAAACTGTTCTAATGCAGGTGAATTAAAAACGTTTCATCTCGTGGTATCCGGGTAGGAAACTGGGTTGATCAACGCGTCCATTTACCGGCACCATCGGTGCCAGCTGGCAGCTGGGTCCCACAATCACGAGGGGCTTTATGCTGGAGAATGCAAGTGCCAGCTGGCAACTGGCCCCCACAATCACGAAGGGCTTTACGGTGCAGAATGCAAGTGTTCTGCTTCAAGTTTATAATTCAAGTCAAAAAGGTTAACGAGACAAGTATTTCCAGCAGTTCTCACCGACTGTCAGGATCGTAACATAGATACAAAATCGACAACAGTGACAACGATTTCTCACATTGGTTACCAATCTACAAAAGCTGACACTTTCATGTAGAGATAAATTATAGGTTGGATTTAAGAAAAATTAAGGATCAAAAGGGCATGGAAATGCAGCACACTGAGATAAATCAGGGCTGCACACTGACACCAGTGTCAGCTTGACCTTGCACAGTATTGTCAGAGGGAGCCTGAGCTGCTACCTCGTCACCTTGATGCTTAGACTTCTCCCTCGTGGATTTAACCCCTTCTTTGGCTTTAGTTGTGTTACTGTTCTTGGTATTACTCTGTAACTTGTTCGGAGGATCCTCAGAAGTACCAAAATTGTGATGTTGATGCCGACCGTAGTCTCCTAAAGCCAGATTGCTTGCGTCGCCACAGCTCTTCCGTCGACCAAGCTTGGGTGATTTAGCCCGAGTTGGAGGCAGCTGTTTGTCAAAAAAAGAAAAAAGAGAGTTTTAAAGGCAATCCTTGTAACCTGAACATGTCAGCAAGTAAACATGTGGGAGAAAATATCAGAGGATGTCCATGTGATCCAAATAGATGGAAGAAATCACAACATCTTCAATATAAGATGGCATGATATGATACTCCAGATGGTTTTTGTTTGAAATGAAAGTGAAGTTTGCATGAGGCAACTTTCCTCCAAAGATAGAGTAAATCTAAGCCAAGACTTATAAAATTAAATAATTAAATCTAAATAGCAAATAAGAATATTACTGGGAGAGAAAATAGTAGAACCGATGTTGGTAATAGGTTAGATGCTTGGATGAATGGACGTAAAAGCTTTGCTGTGGGATATGTGATGCTATAGGAAGTATCATGTAAGAAGAAAATTGAACTTTACACGCCCTATGATAAACAGATATTCCACCTTTTTCTGCTCACTAATGCAAAAGTCAAACCAATTTCATAAATGATTGTCAAAAAGATGCATAGTTGTCTACCGTTAATAAAATTCATCAGTCAGAATCCCAACATAATATATATATATATATATATATATATATATATATAACTTGATGACAATTTATATTCTAGGAATTTACAAGTAATATCATATTATATTATGAAAGAGTAAACAAACTGAATATGTGCTGCCTAGCATGCTCGGACACAGCACTTCACTGCATTGTACTCACACAAGAAGGTAAGCATTGGCACTGAGGCTCCTTTGTGACATGAAAAACTACAGTTCAAGACACAGAAATAAATTTATCTGTTTGCAGGGATAATGATATGAATCCTCCCCAAATTTCATAATTCATTTTGGCAAGAAATTGGTGCACACTGAGCCCCAAGTTTCATGCTGTTAAAGTAAAATTGCACTGAGAAATATGAGTATAATGAATTGTTCAATGGCTAAGCAAATTTGCAAAAGTCAAACAATACAATTAAATAAATCCTTATTATGTGGACCCACAAAAGAGAATGAGTTTGACTGTTGCCGCCTACTGTCTGTAATCTATATGTTACTTCATGTTCAATGAAGTAACTGATAAGCTGACCTAGCATGCAACTGTATTTGTTGGACTCAAGCCTCTTTCATAATGGGAAAGGTCAATGTGGAAACAGTACAAAATGGCCACTGCAATTGCCTGTTAACAACCCTAGGAAGTAAGTTTTATCTACTCATACTATATTCACAATGGCTCATTATATATTATAACTTGCTTGAATTAACAGTTGCATCAAGTCAAAGACAGCCAATTACCTTCTTTAGTTCAAGCTTTGGCGGAGGCCCCTCATGGTAGAAGCTAGGCATTGGCGTTGCTTTGAAATTCAAACTCTTCCTTAGTTGCTTTAGAGCTGCCTCTTTCTCTTCCTGAAGAAATCAGAAGTTGAGATGTGAAACTCCAATATATGACAATGACAGTAATAACTATACAAAGTTACTCAAATGCTACAAGTGCTTTTTATATGATTGACATAAAAAGAAATCAATATAAGGGTCAATGAATTCTCAGCCATCAACTTGATTTGTATCCTTTGCAAATCAAATTATCCTGACAAACTAAAAAACCAACCAAAATGTAGATAACAAGATAGTACCACCAATTCTCAGCCATCAACTCGATCTGTATCCTTTGTACATCAAATAATCCTGAAAAACTAAAAAACCAACCAAAATGTAGATAATATGATAGTACCACTAATTCTTAGCCATCAACCTCTGGTATAATATATAAACCAAAGCCAGACATCTAAAATCAGCCTTCTCAAAGTTCTCCATTATTTACTACAAGTTATTATCTTGTGTGGACATATTATATGGTCGAGAATGTGAGAGTAAATAAACGTTGGAGAAGGGGAGAGGATATCTTATGCAAATCAGTTTTTCCTATTGGAATTAGGAATTGGACTGTCATTCTAACGTAAGATTAGGCTAGAGCTTGGGTCAATCTAGGAAAGGTTTGTGCCTTTGTGGTGGTTTTTAAGTTGCTAAGTTGTCCTATATGTGGTAAATTTTACAAGTATCCTAGATTTAAGAATGAAGCCTTGACCTGAATTAACATGTATTTTCTGAGAATTATCAACAATTTCTTAGTATGAATCATCAAAAAAATTTCTTCTCATGGTGGATTCCATGATATGCTCAGAGTATTCTCGTCACAAACTTATTATCTCTTTTTCTTGGTCTTAATATCTGATATAGTTGATAATACACATAAAACAATTTTTTTAACTTTGAAACAAAGCATTTTGTAAATGTTACTTTTAGATGCAATGTCTAGCATCTGCATTGTTAGACACCGCATTGCAGATACAATTAGGTTTCATTCAAGTATAACGACAGACTTACAAAATCATAGGCAAAGATATGGTCAAGACAACATCATCAATTTTGAAAAATGGAAATCTGTTTATAGAATATCAACATGTAGCTGCCTATCCACTAAACATGATGTTAGATATTGGTATCCAAATAAATGGATCATAAGCTCTAAACATCATTTTGGTCAATACAAGAATGTGAAGTATCGAAGTAGCATAAATGCACTCTTGAAAATAAAGAGAGGCATAAAGGATTCATATGATATCAGACTCATCATAAGAAACACCCTATTCTACATTTGGCTATAATGGATACCCAAAGGTCCATACACACTCAATATAAAATAATAGAAGGAAAAAGTTTATATCTAAACTACTGGAGAAAAAAAAATTTAGCTCATTCTATAAGTCAAACTTCAACATAATAAGGTAGGCATCTGCAAGATAAACATCAAAGCCGACCCAATCAATTACCATGGTATATGATAAGATCCTTCTATATATATGCTTTGTGAAGTAATATCTAAGAAGTTATTCTTATCATATACTTCAATATGTTTTTCCTTATAACACTTAAAGCTCCATATATAATTGCAAGTTGTAAGGCAAATTTCTAAAACCAGAAAGTTCTATAATTTTTTTATGGACAAAAGAAATTTCATGTCTCATCAAGAAACTCCAAAATGGAAATATGTAAATAAGAAAACTTAATTTCTTGTGTACCATATCTCCCAAGAACTAATAAATGGAAGGAGTCATACCCTGGTCCTAGCTTCACATTCAAGTTTCTCTGCTTCGAGAGCCTGATGTTTCTCTTCTAATTTTGAATAGAACTACACATAGGACAAAAGAAACATATATCAAAATCCCATTCAATGATTCGTGGGTAAATAAAAATTTAAATGATAATTAAATAAAAAATACCTCCTTCCGCCTCTCTGCACGTTCACTACATTTGAATGTAGGGGCAATTGCCACTGTTGTATTAACTTTCAAATTTCTTATAGAAGGTGCGGTACTATGAGTAGCTCAGGAAGAAGTTCTTTGTACAAAAAACATAAAGGAATTTCAAGAAACATAAGTTGGAAAAGGATACGCAGAAGTAATGGAGCAAGAATCCTCTTCATCTGAGTACATGATGTTATCAGGATGCAATGGCCTCCTAGACGTGACTGTTAAGTTACTCTGTGATCCCATTCAGAATTATATTATGAATAAATCCATGATCTAGTCTTCGAACTTGCTAAAGCACTTTTCACAGAGAAATTTAAATGCTTTCAAGCACAGAAATCTCATGTACCAATATATCAAGGTGCAATTTTAAAAATCTTGTGGAATGTTGCGCAAGATAAATCATGAAGATAAAGGATGTGTTCTGATGCTTCATATCAAATGCTTAAAATTAAGATCAAGCAAGAGGAGAAGCAACTTGATCATGATGAGAATTCAATGTGCAGTGCCTTAAATTAGCACGAGAAAGCTAAACAGAACAAGTCAGCTATAGAATAAAATTGTTTTTGAATAGGAAAACACAATATGTTGTGCAGGGTATGCAAAATCACCTAAATACTGTATATACTGAATATTTGACCCAAGGGCACTAAGAAATATTATTACCTACATTTTGAACTGCACGAAGGATGCATTATATTGCAGCATGGTATGTGAGGAGGTGGGAAAAAGATGAAGCATAAGAAGCAATAAGAAAAAGACCTGAGCCTTCTTCTGGACGTCGGACGATTGCACATCTGCATTAGGATCTTTGTCTCCCTCGTTAGCAGCTTCAGCAACAAAAGCACGATTTGCACTAGAAGCACGCTTTTCCGTTGCAAGAGCAAATGGCTGAGGAACAGTGTGGTTAGATCGTACAGCCTTGGCAGAACTTGATGCTGCTGACATATGGCTTATTGATTTCTGATCACCATACTTCTTTTCTGTCATGTCCCTATCCAAACTCAAACTTCTAATATGAGGTAAAACATGCACCACATCAGAATTTGCAATATTCTCATTGTTATCTGTAGCTTCATCTGCCACAGTCACTGTAGAAGTTTTGGGAGGGATAGCATGAGTAGTTTTATTTGGTTCAGGTGTGACACTATCTCCTTCTTCATCCATTGGCATTACTGTACCTTCCTTACCTATTGGACTGAAAAAAATTAATCATACAAATCGAATTCTGCATATAGCAAATGATTAAAGACGAAAACTAAATATATCTGACTCTAATAGTCAAACACAAACCAGATGTATACCAACCTATAAATGCAATCATAATATTCTCATCCAAAAGATGAATCAATGGTCAAATGCGTTCAAGTAATTAGTACTTCCAAAGAAGAGTTAACTTCAGAACTAAGTTATTGGGGCATTTTCCCTTGGCGACATCTAATAACGAAATAAATGAAGAATGGCAGGATCATGTGCAACAAGTTGAAAGTATGCTCTTAATGAAAGTGCTCGGTCATATTTCCATAGAATGTGGCACTCTCTGAATGCAGATAGCATTTTCCAAATTATTTGAGTCCACAAAGGCTTCCGTCTATTTGCAGTTTTCCATTCAATGTGATGACACTATGGAAGGAACGTTGCTCTTGAATATTTTGGGTTTGCATAGCATCCACTCCATTCTAAAATCTCTTTCATCTATTGACTTACGCATCTTATTTTCGCCAGAGTTATTGCAGCAGGGATAAAACAAACATTAAAAATCCAACAAATGATCATTCATTCAGCAAACAATCAAATAAAACCTTTTTTTAGCACCTCCATTTTTTAAGAATTTTCCTAACTGTAAAGAAGTACCAAACCCTTCGCGGAAGTGATGCTTTTGAAGGCGACAACGCACAGCGATTCATTTGAAGGTATACCAATGCGACAGAGCAAATGAGACAGCCCTGTTACTTGAAATGTTATTCATTTCAAGACAGAAAAGCGACGGCCGAACTCCTTGCCCTACCTGAATAGTATTTTATTGAAGGAATCCCCAGTAAAAGAATACAATACAGGCCAATGAGGAAGTGGAAGGAAAGCAGACCATTATTTTACGTCACTAGAGCCATCGGAAAGAATCAGTTTAACAGCAGAAAGCGCATTCCACCGACACCGAAAACGCCTGTTCGCACCGAATCAAAGGGTGGATAGGATTCAAAATGGATAAAAGAATTAGCAGAAAATCCGCACAACAGCAGCAGATCTCAAACATCCGTCGGAGATCTGGCTCTCCCGAATGCAATCCGTCACGCATTCCATGGCATACGGATCGAAACAGACGGAGAACCAACACTGAGAGACCCAAACGGAGGAGATCGACAGACGTTACTTACGAAATCCTTTTCCAAGCACCGATCGGATAGATCTAAAAGCTCGTTCTAAGGCGGTCTCCTTACCTTGGCTCCCCTTCCCTTCCCTTCCCTTCCCTTCCCTACGTCCGCCACCCTCGGGAATAGCGATGACCGCTGTTCCGCCCGATACTTATAGCTGCGACCGAAGCTAACGCCGTCAGTTAACGACGAAGCACCGTCACGGACGACGGCCAGCTCGGAGCGCTCAACGGTGGACGTCATCTGCGGTGACGGGATCCCTATGGGCAATTCTTAAAGCAACGCCACCTCATCACGGCGGATCTCGATCACCTCCTCCGTTAAATTACCAAAACGCCCTTTAGGGATTTTCGTGCAACATTTGCATTCTACCCCTCGAAAGAAAGTTATTTCCAGGAGAGGTATGCCCACTGCAATTTCTCGTGTTTATAATAAGTTGGAGGACTTTGAAGGCAAAATGCTGACCTCAAGGCTAAAAAAAGGAATCATGTCAGATCATACCCTAATTGGAATCTTTACTAAGATCCATATCATTCATGTTTCGACTTTTAAAACAAATATTAATTAATTTATTGATCGATATTCCATGATTAGTAACATGTGATAAAGTGGGTAGAATCTTAGTATTCCTCGGATTCGTTATGTTACGTTCAAAATTAAGTCTCGAAGAAGCACATCATAACCTTTATAGTTCACAATACGGTAACAATACTTGAAGTCTATTATAAAAGGGCTCGTTAGATATATTTATAATATATTATAATTTTTATTTAAAATTAATCGAATCCTCTAAATTGACTATTAGCTTAGATATTGAAGGAGTCTTGTCGAGAGCACCCCTGACATAGTCTTGGAGATTTCAAAAGCATATGAGAATGAATCATTCATCAACTTTTCAAGACAAACAAAAAATATATAATTTGTTGACTCCGAATCGATATCTATCTCGGATAATCAAAATCTAATTTAACAATTTGATGCTAAAAAATGGACCTCTAAATCGATATCTATCTCGTCTCGGATAAATTAAGATGATCGAAAATGACTGAATCTCTAACTTTTAAACTTCGCTATTCAATCTTTCGTCAACCCGAGCATTCTCTACTCAACTATTAGGTCTACCACAGGTCTTATCTTCCAAATATTTGAACAATTAACTTTCTATAGATTATTTTTTGATTCGATACCAAATGTATCCACACTCGTTCAACAAGCTTCACATGCTCCACCAACTCATATTATGACTATTATTATTATAATATTATATAATTTAATTCAACAAGTGTAAATTTTGATATAGATAACTCAAATTATGATACTATATCTTCTTTAACTTATCATGGCAAAATAGAGATCAATCGAACCATTCACTTTATTATTTTTTTACTCGTATCTCTAAACTTGTCCCATCCCAAGCCTACGCCTTGTGGTATTGACTTGACTTATTTTAGTCAACGTATCATGAAAGGTTTATTCCACTCATAATAGGTCAATATAAGATCTTCCATAACAACTTGAGATACCATAAGAGTCAATCATCTAATTTGTTAAGTTCCCTCCATATGTTCGGAACATCTATATGAGACGGATCGGAATTGAAAGACGTCTGATCAAAGATTAGGCAATAAAAATAATAAAAAATCGAGCCTTATCTATGATCTCCTATCATCAAGAATGACAGGCGTCGACTAAGTTTTTACTGCGTCGAGATTGGTGCTGACAATAACCCACGGCCTGTAAGCTGAGTAAGTTTGTACTGACGTGGGCCCATGTCCTATGAGAGACGAGGTGTCCCAATGGGTTTCGCCACCGGTCTCCTGCGTTCCCGTCTATCGCTCACGTGCGCAGTATTCGGAGACGACGCAAACACTCGTTGCCACTCACGTGCGCCGGATAAAGGAAGTATAAATAATAAAGCAGTCTCACCCTTGTCCGCATCGACTCGCTCTCTCTCTCTCTCTCTCTCATCGTAATCCCTAATCCGTTGTCCGGGGCAGTCCCGCCTCTCGGTCTTCAGCCTCGAGAGCTTTCGAATTCGTTCGCCTCCCCGTTTGGATCTCCCTCGGCCCCTCCGCTGTCGGCCAGGACTCGCGCCAAAGCCCGTAGGCCGCCTTGATCTTTTGCCCTCTGCTCCTCCTGCGTCTTCGAGCTCTTGTTTATGTCTTTTCTGTAGGGTTTTCTTCGAAGGCATTTCGTGGAGTCGTTGGGACCCTTTCTGAGTATCGTATTTTGAGATGTCGGGGTTTTTTGTGATGAATTGTTAGTAGAGACGTGATTTTTACGGTTTCAACGATTCGTAGTCTTTTTTCCTTTTTGAGTCTCGTTTGTTTTCTCGATTGGCCTCTGTATCTCGAGTTTACTAGTGTTTGTCAGTACGATTGAGCGTTGGTTATGAAATCTGTGGATCATAATGCTGCAAAAATGCTGTTGTTTACAAGGTTACTAGGTTCTTTCATCATGATCCTTTGCTTAACAAGGAGCAAGAAGCTGTACACTTGTGCAATCTGAAAGTTTTGATTACCTGTAGTTCTATTGGAAGAGAAAATAAAAATCATATAAAATTAGATACTAGATTAAAATCGTTTTGTGTTTGGTGTATAGGTAAGAAAGAGGTTGTATATGAGTAGATTTTGTTTTTAGTCTGATATATCTTAAAATCTAGTTTTGTTTGCTACGGATCAACTTGTTTTTGTTATTGGAAGTATACTTCTTGGCTTAAACCTCTGCAGATTGGAGATACCTTTTGTGATTAATTATCCAGTCATGCCAACACGATACTGGTTCTTGTCATGAATGGCTACTTTTAGATGCTTGTGTTTTGCTTAATTACCGAAACATGCAGTATGGTAGTAGTTATATTCAGAGTTTGAAAAAGAGAAAGGTAACTAAATGAGGAAAATACGAAATAGAAAAGTGTGGAAATAAGGATAAGGTCATATTTTTGAATTCAAGGACATATTTAGGTGGTATGGTAGTTTTAATTATTTTATATGAAATGCAATAGCAATATCCAGACTCTATTTTTGGTAGCTAGATATTTTTAGTTGGGCAGAAACATTTTTTTTTCTTCTGAAAGCTGGAATTTATGGGCCCTTGTTCTAGGTCGTCTCTTCCTGGTATGGAACAATCAATGTACACTGCTGAAAGAAGCCACACTTATTTCTGTACGTGTGTTGAAAGTGGACATTTGACGTTGAAACAGATACAGGAATATCCAATTTTCTTTTTAATATGCTTACTTTAAGATGCTTATTCATCCAGATTTGCTTTTATATTGGTTTCAAACATGCAACCTGCCCTATTTTTTGTGTATCACTTATTGGTCTATAACATCTGGTTTGGGATTATCTCATTCTTCTTCTTGTTTTTTGGAACTTGTCTTGCTCTCCATGCATAGTCTTATACAGTGATCCATGTTATTCTGAGAGCACTGGCTATGTTTGATTATATTTGCTTTCTTATGCTTGATTATATTTGCTTTCTTATGCTTGATTATATTTGCTTTCTTATGCTTGATTATATTTGCTTTCTTATGCTTGATTATATTTGCTTTCTTATGCTTGATTATATTTGCTTTTCTAGTTTTTGGCTTCTTACATCTGCATCTGTGATGTTTGATGATCTTAGTTTAATTCAACATCTTATGGATGACATTGAGGAAAATGTTGTGGAAGAAGAGGTCCCGGTAGAAAGTGGAAACTCACACGAAGTGAAACAAGAAACTGATGGTCAGTTGGAAGCAGAGTCTGGTGAAAAGAAGTGGCCTGGGTGGCCAGGAGAGAGTGTTTTCCGCATTTTGATTCCTGCTCACAAGGTGGGTAGTCTCATTGGCCGCAAAGGAGAGTTCATCAAAAGAATGTGTGAGGAATCAAGAGCTCGGATAAAGATTCTTGAAGGACCTCCTGGAGTGCCAGAAAGGGCAGTAAGTATTTCATTAGTTTGATGGTGCTCTAGTTAAAGTGCCACTACCATATATCTATTGTAGATGCTGTGAAGGGTTTGTGCTATCCAATTTTATGATCTTTTAGCTATCATGCTATTTTTCTTTTTTGTTGCATTCTAGACATTATGCAGGCTGTTCGAATTTATCAAGTTGTTCATCCTAGAATTGTAAAAAATACCTGTCTGATTACTTGCTTCTATCGTAATTGTGCAGCATACTATGTCTATGCTGCTAGGTCATGTTCACCTTGTTTGTTCATTTGGCTTATAGAATTAAATGATTTGCATATTACCCACGTGTGACTTCTGTTTATTTCTTAAAATTGCTTATGATTTGTTCTCTTTTGCAAAATAAGAGGTGCCTGTATTTATATTGCAAACTGGTTAAATCACAAATCATCTCCAAGGCTTTATAATACAATGATTCATTTATGATATGCAAATAACCTGTCTTTTGCTTGCACTTTATCTAAAGTTTGCTTCATTTAGGATATGCTTATTTTCTGAATGACCATAAAACAAAGTTGATAAAAGCTTGGTTGTGTGATTAAAAGAAATTAGCTGAATAGTTGCATGATTCACACAAGTAATGTTGGCACTTGATATTTCAGACCCAACTTTTTTGTTCGTTCCTATTGAAGGCACAACTAATTAGAGTTAACTTTTTGGAAGTATTTGAAAGTCGAAATATCTCTTCAATAATCAAGAATATTTCCTCAATGAAAATCTTGAGTAGATTTTTGTTTGCTAAGGTTCAAATTTATTGTCTTTTTCAAATTGTGAAATCATAAATCAGGTTTCAGTCACACTAAGTAGGCAGAACTTGATGATTCGAAGATTGAATCTACCATATGTTATAAGAAAAGGACACGATGCAGTCAACAATAATGTTCATATGGGGAAAAGATCACCTAAGACAAACACTTAACATTCCCATTGCAGCCTTCAGTCATAATAACCAGATGAATCTTTGCAGGTTCTTTCTGCAGACCTAAGGCAACAAATGAAATTGTCCTTGTGAATCAAAAATAGAAGAACAAAGGTGCAGTTTGCAAATATCAGTCTTTGAACATCTGTGCTGGAATTTATCTAAGCCTAGACATGTTGGATGACCATCAAGCTTCACATTGTTTCTGGTAATTCCATAACTCGCTTGATTGTCGTTTCAACAAGAGATCAATATGTTCTTGATGAGTAGAAAGGTCTGTGGTGCGGAGGCTACTTGATAGGTATGTTGCAGATCCAGGATATATATAGTAACTGATAGCGAGATTAATACAGTCATGTCTAAAATTTGCATTGAATCAATATACTAAGATTGATCTTTTGAGAAATGGAAAAAGGTGCTGATCAGTATTACCCATGAACATGTCTAACCATTTATGGATGCAAATTTATATGTAGATGGAATAATTAAGAAGAACGAATATTTGGTGCATGGTTTGTTATGTTTCCAGAGCTAAAATCAGTATCAAGTCAGAAAATGGAAAACTGTGTTTATAAAAGAATATGGTGGTAAAAAGCTGTAATATGCTAGTTTAGTCAACTGATTAAAAAAGATAAGCTTTAGCTGATGATCCTTTGCTAAAATTCCCGTGCAGCATGCTACATGGACTATCATAAAACTTGGATAGGCTATTTTATTAAGATTTAAGAAAGACGGAGGTCTGATTTTTATATTTTCAGATCTTGAAGATGTACGATAACTACTCAAGCGGCCATTGGAAACTCTTGTTGCATCTTGTTTAATTGTTTTTGTCTTTAGACTTCAGTGACTGATGTTTTTCATTCCGTCTGTTCATCTGATACAGGCAGTAATCTCATTTGGCGTTATTCATCATCTTCAAGCTGTTGTAAGCATTTCAGTATGTATGATCTGTTCTGGTGCCCCTTTGATGTTGACAGACAGCTGCTGGTAACATGAATAGGTAGAGAAAAAGTAATGTAGAATGGAAAAGTGGGACCTAACAACTAAGACAATATAAAATTAGAAAGATAAGAAATGAACAAGATACGATGTAAAATTTTTGGAATCTCTAAAGACAGTTCGTGGCTATAATAATAAAAAGAAGAGTGGCTCATTGCACAAAGCTGCTGGCAATTCGGGGTTTAGGGAGTTTACGTCCTTGCACTTGATCCAAATGGATTCTAATTACTTAAAGCTCCACCATAGAAAAATCATAGATTTTTCTGCCTAGCATGACTTTAAACATGTGTGGCACTTCAAATTTTGAAGTATTTTGATTACGTAATGAGTGAGTTCAAATTTTTAACAATATTCCACAGTATTCCAAGAGTCAATTAAGACAAGTTGACACTAAGCCTGCCTTTTTCAAATTACTGTCATGGATATTTGAATTCTGAATTCTCACATGTGTTTATTTAGGAAATCAAACAATTTAAAGTTTTGTCTGACTAAGGAGGCGCTTATCTGGTCATCATTTTACTGTTTAATTGAGAGGAATAATCATAGTTCTACATATCCTTTCCAATAAGTACCACTTTGAATTGTTTGGTTTCTTTTCATGATCTACAATCCTTTGTTATGTAATAACAATGGTTTTTTTGCATACAATGTCTTTGAGTGAAATATTTAATCATATAAATCCATTCATGTAGAATAATTTGGCATAATTGTTGTTTGAAAATTAGGTATACTAATTAATTATTGGTTTTATAGAATTGTTCAAACCTTTTTTTAATGCATTCTCAGACGATACATTTGCATAATTATCCATTGTAAGAGCTGGTATGCCATATTCTTGCTTTTGGTAATTTTATTTTTACTACCAACTGTGAGATTTGTGACGTGAGATACCAAGTCGAATTTATTTCTGAAAGGTCTGTAAATTCTTTTATTTGATAAAGAGAAACAGAACAAACAGGAATTGATGAACATCATACTTTATTGGATTGGTAATTATTTTTTTGTTTATTGATTACTAAATGGTGATTATTTCTCCATTCTACATTTAGTGTCATAAAAAAAGATTTCATAGGTGCTCATGTCTGCTGTGCTTCATTAAAGCGTGCATCTTGCACATAGGCTACATAGGATCTCAGTGTTCAATGTGCTTATAAAAACTTTGGATTTGAGAGGATGAGTGCAATCAAATTTTATTTCTAACAAAAGCAGTCAAGTTAATAAGGTTAAATGCACATAAGTAATTAATTTTTACTTGCTTCAGATCATGTTGATATTCAGCTTTCCCCACCTTTTATTTCCACAAAAACACCAGGGAAGAGGTTTCATAATCATTCTTAGGTTCATTATTGCAAATATCGGGTTAATATTATCATCCTTGACATGTATTCCATTAGATATTGGAAAATTTCCTCCTTCCTGGACATGGTGTGTGGTATGTGTATGTGGCTTTATATGCAGATGCATATGTAACATGTTGAGATATTTTTGGTTTTATATGCTTATATAAAAATAGTAAATATGCAATCAACAAATAAATATTATGGTATACATGAAAATATGAAATAGTAATTGACAATTACAGGATGAAGTTAAATTATAAGTTTATGGTACAAGATTGTATATTAATTTGGGTGATTAAGCTTGAATAGAATGGGTGACGATTTAAGCTATTATCCTATATTCACAGACATCATATGAAGTAATGATATGGTAGTATTGACATTAGTAGTAGTCGTGACACATTTTTATGATTATGTGGGCTACATATGGAGTTGCATATGTAGTTATTCAGGATAGGTCAGTCTTGGAACAATGAGGCATGGTGGTACTGTGTTTGTTATGTCTATTTACATGGCTATGTAGACTATTTTGTGGGACACTGATTTCTATGCTACTATGCTCTCTCTTCAAGGGTTGTGACTAATTTGTAGCATTATCTGCCACCAAAAAGGACTAGGCCTCAAAATGACATCTGAAAAACTATATATGTCAAATCTTGATCCTCTTTATTTATTTCAGAAGTGGTTAGTGGATGTATATACAACTAGGAGACAGTGTATTGCACTATGTAATGTAGGTGTTATTCCTGTGCAAATGAAATACATTTATAATTTGCCAAACCAAAAACTGTAAATTTAGAACTTAACCTAGTTCTGCTAAAAGAGATTTTAATGTTCTGTAGAATTATCATCCTTTTTCATCGTGATTAACTAAGTAGCATGCAAGTTACCCTTTCAATGGAACTAATTTTATGTGCCACAGTATAATTTCTGGCTTGATCTATGACTTGTCTCTATCATGAATACATCAAGTTGTTTCTTTCCCTTTCTCATGTTTCTGGGTTTGCCACATAGTTATCTATTTTTGTCATTGTTTTCCTATGTAAGAGTAACATTGTCAGTTGGAGAAATTACTAATTTACTGTTTTTGCTCGATGTGATATTTTGTTTCTTGGAACTTGTGAAGGTAATGATTTCAGCAAAAGAGGAACCAGATGCTTCCATTTCTCCTGCTATGGATGGTCTGCTTAGAGTTCATAAACGGATAATTGATGGTTTAGATGGGGAATCTGGTCATGCTCCATCAGGTGCTGGTAACACAGCGGCCACAAGATTGCTTGTGGCAGCTACACAAGCAGGAAGCCTCATTGGTAAACAGGGAGCAACAATAAAATCCATTCAAGAGGCTTCTAACTCCATTGTCCGTATTCTTGGTATGATTGTCTAGACCTTTTTATATTTTCTTTACACCTTTTCTTTTTAAGCTATAATCTGCCTTTTTCCTTGTAAGAAAATAAGAAATGGTCTTTCATGATCACTGTTGTATCTTAGTAACTTATAGATACTTGCAGCTTTAAGATTCCCAGTGTCAGGTTATGATTTGTTTCCTTTACAGTTAACTACTGTCAGCCTCTTAGTCTGTGATGTTGTATGTACTAAAGTAATTAATAATTGCTAGTTTTGGTTTCTTGTGGACCTCTTAATTTAAAAAAAAATGAAACTGGAAAGTGATTTGACATATTGTAACTTTATGTGGCATGTATGTCTTTACTTGTTATTTCATTGTTTTGGTGTGTAGATTATAATATGTAATTTATTTGTTTCTCATGGCAGCTTCCTTTCTGTATCTGGACTAAAATATCTCACATAGTTAGAGTAGTTTCCACTTTCTAGTACTTGAAGGTTTAGAGAATAACTCATTTGGAGCTTTATGTTGACTTGTCATTTTACTACTATTTCATTTCACTTCTTCCTCTTGGATGATAGAAACTTTTCTGTTTATTAAAAATGCACTCACTAGTATAAGGATTAGGAAATGGTAAAACCTATTTAAAAGCTATGGATTTAGAAAGAGATGCATGACTTGCATTCTCAGTCTTGCAGCAAGCGTTCTGACTCGAGTGCCTGTTGAAAGGCTTACCAGATGAAGCATGGACATGGACTGATTCAGATCTTTCATGGTTTTCTTACAATGATATTGCTTGTTATGAGAAAGGATACAATGGATCAGGGACACAGAAAGCATTGTTTATATTGCTTGTGTGCATATTATTCTTTATAATGGTGCCTGTTTGTGCAATCATGCAATTGCGTTTTTAGAACCAGTCCCAAACTCGGATACTTGCATAGCTAGAGAAAGCCTCAATTTCAGATCTTCAGTGTGAAGTATTTTGGCTTATTTATGCCTTAAGAAAGTGGAAGAACCTATAGAGCGTAGCTAACGTATTTGCTCTTATGACTATACTGTGGCCTCTTCTATTTCAGCCAGCTATCCTGGTTAGCCTCTATGACCTCCTTTGTCTGGACTTTCCATTAGGGCATTAAGCATGATTGTCAACACCTGTACATAACCAGCTCACTTAGCACAATTTTAATGAAAGAGGAGTGCTACAATATCAGTATCTAAGCAAAATTTGAATCTTAGCATCTCTGTTATTGATAATGTTTTTACACTGTTAATGGGCTTAATATTTCAAGATCTAATTCAAGGTTCCTGATATAGCTTTCTGAGTCATCCTTGAAGTGCTTAGGGACATCTTTTATTGGAAGGACATGCCTTATGACGACGAGTACGTGTCAATCTATTCATGTACCTATTGAGTCATTACTAGTTCATTTTCTTAGCCATATATCTGTTCTTTAACAGATATATAAATGCCTGAATGACCTTTATCTGGAGCTGAGAGCATGTATATGACACATTACCTGGATGAGTAATGATGTCATGGTAATCTTAGATTTAACTTTTAACAATTCATCTCAGTGGTTCACAAAGGTTAAACATGCATATTGACGGTAATGTAAATTTTCAAGTTGTGAACTTGCAATATATTCGGCTAATCCGTAGATAGGGAATGAACTTGCAATTCATTTCTTATATGATGAAGTTGTATATTCGACTAATCCTTTGTACAGTGTGTTGAACCAGTTATCGAGACAATTAAACTGATATGTGCAGATTGAAAATTCTAATATTTTAGAAATTTTAAGTGCAAAAATTACTATTTGGCAAGTATCTCTTTAATAAGTTTGAGATTTGCCTGTAAATTGGTGCCTTATTTCTGTTGCCCATACAACAACAACAACAAAGTCATAAGTCTCAATTATTTGGGGTTGACTACATGGATCTTTTGCCATCATTAAAAAATCATTGTCATTGTTAGTGAAACAAGGTTTGCAATACCGCCTCGATTGTTCAGTCTGAGTGGTGTATTTGTGCGACCTTGTATGGTATATGGCTTGTACCGAGAAGTTTCTTCTTTTGTTTTTCAGCTTTTTTTCAGGTTTTTCTAAAACTTGGTACATATTGATGTACTGGCATTCAGTACACTGGTCTGGACCATATGGTACTGGTCTGAGTCCTGACTGGTACACTATCAGTGCACGAAATTGCAAACTTGACAGCAAAATTCCCTTGGGTTTGTTGGAAATTGACCAGCAAATTAATTATTATTGTTTGTTGTTCATGCTGACTATGGTCTCTTCTTAGATGGTTGCTAGTTTGTGTTTACTTTGCTCCATTTTTTGCAGAAAATCTACCTCCTGTTGCTCTGTCAGATGATAGAGTTGTTGAGATACAAGGAGAGCCCACTGGGATGCATAAAGCAGTGGAACTAATTGCAACCCATTTAAGGAAGTTTCTAGTTGATCGTAGTGTTCTTCCTTTGTTTGAAAAGCGTGTAAGTTAACTCATTTGAAGTATGATACTGAACTGTGTATTACACAAATTTGATGAATATTTTAGAGTTTTTCTTTATGTTCTAAAAGTTTCAAATTATGACTCTGTTGTGTAGGTGTCATTGCCAAATATGCATTTGGAGCAGAACATGCCTCCACCTCAACCTTGGGGCCACCCTCCAGGCCTTCCCCCAAGTGCTGGTGGTTCAGCTTATGGTGGCAATCCTCAATTCATGCCTCCACGAGCCCATGATAATTTTTATCCTCCACCTGACCTTCCCCCATTAGAGAAGCAACCGCATCAAGGAATTTCCATGTATGGACAAAATGCACCACCAATGGGTGTCCACTCAGCAAATCAACAGGCATCATCAATGATTTCTCAGGTACTTTTTCAAAAGTATGGGTAAATAAGTGCTTTTAAGAGTAGAGTATGTTGTTTCACTTGTTTTACTCTGATGAGTTCTCGACAGGTTACACAGCATATGCAGATTCCACTTTCTTATGCTGATGCTGTGATTGGAGAAGCTGGTGCAAATATTAGTTATATCCGCCGTGCTAGTGGGGCGACCATAACCATACAAGAAACAAGGGGGGTCCCTGGAGAGATGACTGTTGAGATTACTGGGAGTGCGTCACAAGTTCAAACTGCCCAGCAGTTGATACAGGTGTAGTCCATGACCTTATAACCTGGATAATCTACTTCTTCTATGTGCTATACATCTGTTTCTATTGTTTAAAGAACTGTTTGATTTCTAAAATATTCATGCTGTATTTTCACTAACTTAAAAGTGGATTTTTTTCAGGGTCTAAGCAGCTCCCTTTTAATTCTTGTTTCTTCTCATCTGTTTTAATCTCAGGAGAAGATACATGATAATTATTCTTTTATCTGTTTCCATTATTAAGTGTGAATGCCTTCTTTAATCCCATGTATGCCAATATAGTGTCCTACTTTATAATTTGTGTATATATTATGCTTGTATTTTTGTGTCTTAGGATAAACAACAACAATAACAAAACCGTAAGTCTCAAATTTTTGGGGTTGGCTACAGGGAGCTTTTGCTGTTTTGAGATGTGTAAAAAACAATATGTTTAGTTAAGTTAGAGTACTTAAATTTTTATTTATAGTTTATATTTTTTAGATCTTCCTCTATCTCTCATTGTCTCATTAAAATTAATCATTTCACTTCTTCTGACTATTGTATCAGGAGATCTCTCAAGCATATGTTCATACCATTCAGAGGTCTTCTAAGCCAATTTTGGCTATCATCTATAACTTTTAGCTATTGTAGATTAGATATATGATCTAAGTGTTCTCAAGATGTCAATTTACTTGCCACATGAGACTTGAATAATATTGTGTTAGCATTTCAGAGTCATAGGTTGGTGCAGGGGCAATTTTCTGCCTGAAATTTATATATTTCTGTTATGAATCCAAATTGAAATGGCTCAGCATGTAGGAGACAGTTGTATTTGTTTCTTGGTTGCAATTGATTTAGAGGCAATTGTTTACGTTGTAGTTTGTTATTCTGTTGTGGATCTGAATTCATTTGGCTCTGCAATATAGGAAACAGAATTTTATTTATTTCTTGTTCACATTTGATCTTTATCTTTAAAGTTGAAATAGGAATCATTTCAGCAGTTTCATCTGTATTTGATCTTGATACAAAACCAAGGAATCTTCCACTCAGATCGAGGATCTAAGTCATTCTTATAATTGACAAAACAATGCATCAGTGACTCCATTAATGATAAATAAGAAAGAAAAGTTTAGACAGGTCTCAGGTCCAAGTACTTGTACAGTCGCATGGATTGGCGTTCGAATACCGGTGTGGGCTCGCTAGGGTCTAACCTACTGACACATGGTATGTTGGCACGTGCCATAAAATTTATTTAAGAGCTGAGTATACATGGTTATGGGAATTATGGGAGGCACGTGCAACGGTCTGTGCTGCCAACCTATTGCCCATCTGACTGGTACGTATTGCCCCGTATGTACCGGTCTGAGCAAAAAGTAGAACCATGCTAAAGATCATTGTTTGGTTAAAAAAAAAGGGCTAATTATACAAAAGTTTGGTTGCAGCACATGGACTAAGTACTTCACAGTTATATTTACTTATATGTGAGCATACACAGTTGATTGTATTCCATCTAAGTTTATTTTTGCTTTTTTAGTTGATCTATTGCACTTAAAACGTAAGTGATGGCTGTTGGTAGTGCTTATCTTCTGAAAATGAACATAGAGAGATAATTGGAGTTTGCCAAGATATTTCTTCGGACATGTCATAATTCTCAGTTCTTGGCATGAGCAGTCCAACATATCGGATTAATATGGATAATGTGGATGAAAAGCAAACTGATCGTTAGTCTTAAATAAACTTATCCGATAATTCTTGTAACATCTTGGGATTGACAAGAATCTATAACTAATTGATGCCATTGCATGAAGATGGAGCTTTTAGAAGTAATTATTACTTCTAAAAGAATCTTCTTTTTTTCCTTCTTGGGATTGACAAGAATCTTCTTTTTGATATTTTTTTCCCTTCTATTTCAACTCTTAATAACTCCTGTTACTGTGAGATCTGAAGTGCAATCCTTGTGATCAAGGATTCTAGAATTGAAACCAATATATTTGATGCTGCATGATAGGTGCATATCCTTGCTTATCTTAGTTTCTTAAAGCTAATTGGAACGGATAGGGATGGAAAGATGGAGTTGTGGATGGGTCTTGAGCATCTGAAATAGTTAATGGTTCAGAAATGCTTATAAATGTGGATGGATTCTTAGTGAGGGATGTTTCTTTTCTTGAAGGCATAGGTGTGCATATTCAGCAATACCTTTGTTATGTGGGCTCAATTTACAACTATAGAGAATTTATCGTTGTAATTCAACCATGATTGTATGAATTTCTTTTGAATAAAATCATAAGCACTGAATGTATGAAGAGATCATTTACTAAGTTGAATGTGCAAAAACCTTGTCCATGTGTCCAGACAATTGGTGTTAGCTCCAGGAGTTGATGTCAGGAGTTTTACGGTTACATGATATTTCTTTTGTACAATGCATTGAGCAATGTGTGTGTGACATTTCCTTCTTTTTTCACTTATAGTCCCAAATAAATAATGTTACTCGTTTCCTGAATGTATTGTGATGTTTAACTTTAAACTGCCATGGTGCTAGAACTTAATCTTGGTCAGTTGAACCATTCGCATGGGGTGCCACTGCATGTGGCATGTGGACAGGTTTTTATCATCTGTGAACCAACTATTCATGGTGATCATGTGAATCTCACATGTAATGTGCTTGAATAATATGTTGGTCATGTTGGTCCTTTTCCCTTTTCGTTATTTGTTGATCAACTGCAGCCTATTCAACAACCCAAATTAGTTATATCAGCAAGTACTTAAGATCAGCACATCAGTTGATTATCCTAAATCAAAATGTGATTATCTGACGATGGAAAATATGTCAATAATGGGACTAGGGTGGATATTAAAGATTTTGATGATTAATATTAAAGATATTAAAGAAAAGTTATTTTGGTTCCATGTGAACTTTTTTTTTGGGTGTCTGTTGTGCATTCCGCCCTTTGCTTGATGATTTTTCTTGCCGTTAGGCAGGCTAAATTATTTTTTTTTCTGTCGCAGAATTTCATGGCTGCAGCTCCATCTCCAGCTCCTTCACAGAGCTCAATGGGTTCCATGGATCCAGGTTATAATTCTTACCAACCGCATGGTCCCATGTACGGATCTCCTCCATCGAACACTGGTCCTGTGGCGCACTCTGGAGGAGGATATGGTTCAACCTATGGTGGCAGTTATGGGTATTAGGATATTTGAGAGGCTTATTGAGCTGATAGTATGTTCTCATTGGAGTTACACCTTAGAAGAGTATATTCTTACAGAGATTTATGCTGTGATTTTACTCGACTACCTTTAGCAACTTCAGACCTTATTTCTGGCTGTACATTTAGCCACCATAAATCATTTTACATCTCTTTGTTTCTTCATGTACGTCCTACTTTTGAATCTGATATTGAACATATTATTTATTTCTGATGGTTTTTTATCCCTGCCTTTTTTTTATGGATTTTTTGTTTGTTTACGATGCCAAGAGATGATTTCTTGGCAGCGTTTAAAATGCTCCATTGATGATTTCTTAAGACATGGTCTGAAAGGGTGGTGGTGGGTAATACTATTACCATACTGTATCAGCATGTGGTTCCTTAAAATTTTCGATTTCCAGATTCGAGGAGCATAAATCCAAATCTTTAAATTTTCTTAGATGTTGAGTAAATTTGATCGACAACGATAGAGCTTTAGGATTCATTACTAATAAGGTGGGCTTTTAGGCGTTGTTAATTATAGATTATCTTTTATATTTGGGTCAAATTGGTACTGTAGTTTTTATATTTAAAAAATTTATATTGATATTTTTATAATTTTAAAATTGAGATAAATAATTCTATTTGTCTTAATATTGTTAGTTGTATTCATGAAAAATATAATATATGACATCACCTGTTTCATCGGTGTAAAAGTGATGAGTAAAAAGATAATTTTAATATTTTTTATGGAAAGGAGTTGGACGAGATCACCAAAGATGACCTCCGTGAAGGAGGTTATGGTGAGGTTGATGAAGGTGAAAGCTCCCATGAAGAGGGGGAGGCTAAGTTGTCCTATCATTTGGCTCCTGGCGTAGCGAGAGTGATTGTAGTATCGATGCACATCGTTGTTGCCTAGTTGTCGACGTTTAGCAGTGAGCAACAAGAAGAAGAGTGTCTAGAACTTAGGTTGTGACAGATAGAGTAGTAAAGAGAACGTGCGGTCGAATCCATCGATATTACAATAAGCCTAGCTCAAGAGTTAAGCAGTGAAGATTCTGTAGCGATTTGATATCATTCATCTTCTTCAACAATAACACGAACTAAGCCACCTAGAAGAGAATGAAGGTGGCGGAGCAATGTCGTGTAAGGAGACAAGTGGAGAGATGTCGAGAAGAGGAAGGTGACCTGGCCACCAATCCAAGTCTTGATGTCGAACCACTATAGGCAATGAGTACATAGAGGAGAATGACATGGGCGTCACGAATGTTAAATATGGTGTGGGCAAGAATTGGGAATGAGACGTCGTAGCGGGTGCTGGGCTGCACAACTGCGAGGAGGGGCTCGAGGAGGATGACCTTGGTGGCGACGACAACGCTGACAACAATGTCCTGGGCATCCCAACGATAATCACTCTCACTACAACGGGAGCCAAGCAAGACGATCACCACACCTTGAGCATCACAGTGGTGGTCACTCTCACTACATCAGGAGTTAGGTAGGATAATGACCATGCCTTGAGCATTCTGATGGGTGTAGCGAGAGGCGGACCAAGTAATCCCGAGGAGAATGACCTTGGTGGCAACAACAACGATGACAACCATGTCTTGAGTATCTCAACAACGATCGCTCTCGCTACACTAAGAGTAAGTAAGACGATCACCATACGTTGAGCATCCCAGCGGTGGTCGCTCTCACTACACTAAGAGCCAAACAAGATAATGACCATGCCTTGAGCATTATAATGAGTGTAATGAGAGGTAGACTAGGTGGCAATGCAATTAGATCTCATCGTTGAAAATGGAAGGGATATTGAAGTTACTTTTTGCTCATTACTTTTGCGTTGATTGGTGCTACGTGTCGTGTTTTCTGTTAATATTATTTAGGACGTTAGCACAAATGAGATTATTTATTTTACTTTTAAAATTATATAAATTTTAATATAAATTTTTTAAGTAAAAAGATCATAATATAAGATTAAAAAATAAGAGGTAATTTATTTTACTTTTAATGCCATGGTTTGTCATCGGTGCACAAGGGTAGTGCATCATCGTCTTGCCTACGGGCAACCGTCGATATTAGAACTACCGAATCTTGATGGCCGATACCAACCATTGATCGTCCACAGGTTCTCACCAGAGAATGGTTATTAGTGGTGGAACGATTCAAATCTTGATACCCTCTCCCTCGTAAGGTGCCTTCCCAAGTGAAGCGATAGCCATTCTGTAGCTGCAGATCTCTCCCGGGGCTCCTTCGTGGCGGCGTCTTCCCTGATCCGGGAGGCTCGGGGGTCTTTGCTCAACGTGATCCGAGATCGGTAGGTCAACGTACGAGATGAGTTTTTTTGCGCTTGGGTTATTGATTTGGGGCCACCCTTTCTTTCGCATCTGGTTCTTCTTCCGATCCATAGATTTCCGCCGAGATCAAGTGCGATTTCTCCCCTTGGTTTTCGATTTATATTCGTTTGGGTAAAATTTTGATGCGGAAGGCGAAAACTTCTAGCCGATTTGTTCTTATTTTTCGTGTTGATGTGGAAAGATTAGAACTTTAGCTCGCTTCTTTTTGTGGTCGTCAATCGTCGCAAGTATAAGGGCATTCTCCCTCTTTCCCTTTCTTATCCACTTGAAACAAGCACCACGGCGTGCACTGGCCATCCAATCGACTCCCTTTCTCCCCAAGAAAGAGTGTAGATCGGAGATGCTTCCATGCACCAGTGCACTGCCCTCCTCGACCTCCATCTGCAAGTTCATCTCTGACCACACCCTTCTTTCAATGCTCGAGACCAAATGCAACAGCATGAGGGACCTCCACCGGCTCCACTCCCAGCTCATCAAGACTGGCTTGGCCAGAGACCACATCGCCATCAGCAGAGTTCTTGCCTTCTGTGCCACCTCCCCCAATGGCGATCTCAACTACGCCATGCGCCTCTTCTTCCACCACCACCAGCCTAATGCCTTCATGTACAACACCCTCATCAGGGGCCTCTCCCACAGCTCAACCCCACACTTAGCCATATCCCTCTTCCTTGACATGCTGCACTCGCCCATTCCGCCACAAAGACTCACTTTCCCGTCGCTCTTTATAGCCTGTTCCCATCTCGGGCTCGCCGCCCACTGTGGAGCTCAGCTCCACGGCATGGCCTTCAAGCTCGGGCACGCGTCCGATCCCTACGTACGCAACTCCATGCTTTCCATGTACGCCAATTGCGGCTGTATAAGCATGTCGTCGCGGTTGTTCGACGAATGCTCGAGCTTCGACGTGGTGCGTTGGAACTCCATGATCACTGGCCTGGCGAAGAACGGGCAAATCGACAAGTCCAGATACTTGTTCGATGAAATGCCAATGAGAAACCTAGTGTCATGGAGCGCCATGATCAGTGGGTATGTCAGGAGCGGAAGGAACGACGAGGCACTGCACCTCTTCTACCGAATGCAAGAGGAAGGGCTGAAGCCAAATGCCAACATTTTGGTCAGCTTGTTGGGTGCATGTGGCAGTTTAGGAGCTCTGGATCAAGGCGAATGGATTCACCAATACATCAGAAGGAATGATGAGTTTGTGCTTGATCCAATAGTAACCACAGCTATCATAGACATGTACTGCAAGTGCGGTAGCATAAACAAAGCTCTCGAGGTGTTCGAGAACAGCTCGACGAAAGGGTTATCATCATGGAACTCTATGATCCATGGCCTGGCAATGCACGGGCACTCGGAAGCAGCAACTCTGCTGTTCTCAAGACTCGAGTCCTCGAACTTGAGACCAGACGATGTTACCTTTCTTAACATCCTCACATCTTGTAGTCATGCAGGCTCGGTAGACGAAGCATGGCACTACCTGTCGCTAATGATCGATGAGTATGGCATCGAGCCTGGAACCGAGCATTACGGTTGCATGGTTGATGTGTTAGGTCGAGCTGGACTCATCGAAGAGGCCGAGGAACTGATGCGAAGGATGCCTATGGAACCCGACTCTGTTATGTGGGGTTCATTGCTTTCAGCCGGTAGGGTTTACGGGGACGACGACGCGAGCAGGCGAGCAGGAAGACAGGTGATACAGTTGGATCACTTGGATAGTGGTGGTTATGTGGTTCTGTCGAACGTGTTTGCAGGTGCAGGCGACGTCGGCAATGCCAATGAGGCAAGAACAAGGATGAAGGAGAGAGGGGTGAGAAAGGAAACAGGGTGTAGTATGATTGAGGTTAATGGTGTTGCTCATGAGTTTGTGGCTGGTGGAGTGCTGCATCCTGAGGCCGAACAAGTTTATGAAACATTGGAAAGATTGGCTCTGGAGTTACGGGGACAGTACAATGTGGAACTTGGAATTCTGGACACGCTAGAATAAGATTGCTCATGGGTGAGTCTAATGATTTGAAAATTAGAATCATTTACTAAAAGCATTGATGGATACGGTGGGTATGGTAGTCTATCAGTATTACTTACCAAAGTTTGAGATTTTGAAATCTCATCTGAGTAATTTTCTGATAAAAATTTTGACTGGTATAGGGAAGGTATTGGAATAAAAAGTCTGATCTTCATCACTTATTTTTTAATAAATTAAATTAAAATAGATAAAGTGATGGTCTACCAAACTCACTTATCAAAAATCAAGAGTTATAAATTCGATAGAATTTAGATAAATTTCTCAAAAAAAAAATTAATTTTTTTTTTACTTTTTAACGTAGAGCATCTCGTTTTCGATTTAATCTCATAAAGCATTTATTATTTTATAAAGGATGAGATTAATTTTCACCTTTTTCTCGATGATTATTGCCTTCGTCCAACATTTGTCGTTGTCACCACGCCCTTGTTTGTCGCCTCGAGTAACGTTGTTCTCGTCTGTCATCCTCACTCTCTTCCACCATTATTATTGCTAGGGACCTAGCTTGTCATAGTTGTCGAGCCCTCATTGTTGCCTCTATTCTCACATGCTTGTTTGTCATTATTGAGGCACCTCATGCTGAAGAAGCAAGCTCCTATTTGCTTTCATATGTCGCTCTCCTCACCCCTTGCT